TAATCCCTTGACATCAAATCTAAAGTGGCAGACTAGGGAAACTTGCTAAAATTTTCTGTTTCTACAGACTTGTTCTGCAGAATGAACTGTATGAACTTAGGTAAATGTGAAATTTAAGTTTTCTAGGGGTAAAGTAGGGTTCAAAGATGTTTTTGCTATCTGGCCTCGCTTTGAATTTACTATCTGAACAGCTGGCCTTGAATTGGTACCAGATCCTCTTACCTCAACTTTCCAAGTGTTGGGAGCACAAGAGTTCTGGATTACAAACACACGGCACCATACCTAGCTTTAAGGTCTTAAAAGGACGTGCCTGGGCTGGGGAGTGGCTCAGTGGTAGAGTGTTTGCCTAGCATACAGAAGAACTGGAGTTGTGTGGAACACAAACAATGTGACTAATAAGGACCCAGAAAATTCTGGTTGTGCCATTCATTCTTACAGAGTCTGGATACATTAAGTCTTGTTGGATAACATAATATAATGCAAAATCAGTTTTCTAATAAGGCCCTCTGCTGAGAAGGTACATACTAATTTTGGCACATATCCCTGATAAATATGTAAAAATTAATCAAGGATGATATCACACAATCACCTTTTTATGGTATCTACAGCTTGCTTTTAAAATGCCAGGAAAGGCCTGGAGATGTATTCAATTGGAAGATTAGTTGTTTAGTGTCCATGAAGCCTTCGGTTCAGTCTCCATTACTGTGTAAACACAACATGGTAGCACATACCTACATCCCACTTCTTGGGAAATAAATATAGGAAGGTCAGAAGTTCAACCATTATTGGCTACACAGCAAATATGAGGCACCAGTGTGGGCTAAGAAAGACCCTGTTTCAAAAACCTGGTAGGCCAGAAGTAGGTGGGTGTCTGTGAATTTGAAGCCAGCCTGGTCTATATAGTAAGTTCCAAACCTTCTAATCAAAACAACAAACATACTATACAATGTGAGTGTCGCAGCACACACCTATATTACCAAGACATGAGAGGCAATCCTGGGAGACAGGAGACCTCTCTCAAATAAAAACAAACCCCCATACTCGCTAGACATGATCTTGCTCCGAGGTTAGTACTACAGTCACATGACATGACTTCCACAATGCCTGTGACTCCTAAGTCTTCAGCAATAGGACCCGGAGGAGCAGAAATGAAGGGCACAGAATAATTCCCAGGACATCACGAGCTGGAACCAGAGCTCCATGTGCTTTGTCTTCTGTGTGGACAGAGAAGATGAACCAATGATCTAAGAACAGGGAGAGGAATTTGCCACCAGCTAAAATATTTTCAGTAAGAACAAATCACCCAGAAAGAGGATTTGCTTTGTAGAGGCTGAGGAATTTGTGAAGTCAGAGTTTGAACTCCACAGAAATGCTGTCTATATTCAACAGGAAAGAACAGGACTCACGTGAAAACGTTACCTGTGGGGCTGGGGTTAGAGCTCAGTAGCATAGCATTTGCCTGGCATGTATGAGGCTCTGGGGCAATTCCCAGCAAACCTGTCTCCCAGTCCCTCCCCGCAGAAAGAGACAGACACACAGACAGACAGACAGACAGACAGACACACACACACACACACACACAATGAGGAAACTGAAAAGAAGCAAGGAAATAAATTCCATGAAATCCACTTAAGACCGACATGTTTTCAGGAATTTTTCTATCAGCAAAAACCCTGCCAGCCCCCATTGGAAGGGAGAGACTGAAAATGACAGGAAGGTGCTCAACTCCCAGAATTCTACTGCCAACAAGCAGGTGCATGAAACTACAAAGAGAAGCTACAAAATAAGGTCTACCTTCTGAGGAAAATGGAGGGCCACGAGACGTGTGCCCAGAGTAAAAAGCAAGAGGAGCTCTGAGGGCTGGGATGGTAAGATGCCACAGGGGGTGAAGGGGGCTGCCCCCAAGCCTGATGATTTCAGTATAATCTCCAGAACCTACGTGGCAGCCACAGAGAACTGACTCCCCCCAAGGTGTCCTCTGACCAGCAAATGACTGCTGTGGCACAGGCACAGTCATGCACATACACACACACAATACACGTTTAAAGAGGAGAAAAGAGCCCGGAGGGTGAAAACAAGAGCCAAGCGGGCAGAGCTGAGACACATGGGGGAATTATTTCTAGGCCCTGGGTCCTAAGGAAGGAACTGCTGCTATCTGTCCTGGAAATGGAAGGTGTGAAAAAAGGAGCCACAAGGCAAACCCACCAGCTCAGAGGGCAGAGCTGAGAGCCACAAGGAACGGTTCTCAGGCCTGGACCATAATCAAAGAACTAGAGCTTGACCGCCTGATTGGATACCCCACACCCCTGTATTGGGTACTGAACCGAGGCAGCTAAACCGAGAGCATGCTGGACAAGCACTGTGCCACTGAGCTATATCCCAAGGATTATTTTTACTTTCTTTCCTCAAGATCTTATTTTTATTTTATGTACATGGGTGCTTTGTCTATCTGTATGTAAGTGCAACATATGTCTACAGTGACTGAGTGCCCTTGGAGGCCAGAAAAGGGCATGAAATCCCTGGGAAATGGAGTTACAGACAGTTGGGAACCACCATGTGGGTGCTAGACATTGAACCCAGGTCCTCTGGAAGAGAGGCCAGTGCTCTTAGCCACTGAGCCATCTCTCTTGCCCTTACTTTTACTCTGAGACAGGGTTTTACTGAGTTGCCTAGGGATTGGTTTTGAACCTGAGATCCTCTTGCCTCACCTTCCCACGGCGGAGATTAAAGGCCTGTACCGCCAGACTCTGCTTGCTTGCCCAGCTGGATTTTAAAGTTGCTTTAGGTTGGTGACCTCTTTTCCCTTACCAATCCTTCCTCCTTTGAACCTGAAGTTGTAGGTTCTCTCACACTAGTTCTGCCTTGTCTATTGGGAGAGCAAGGAACAAGTAGATATTTCTTTGGTTTTGTAATTCCACTAAGAAAAAACTACATCTCAGACCTGTACTTTATTACAGCCTTGAGCCTCATCTCCGTAAGGTCCAGCCTTTTAACATTGCAACACAACTGCTATCTACAAAGGCCATACTTGAGAACCATATAATCAGGTTCCCTGGATAAAATTTGGAAAAAGGGAAGTCTCAGTGTTTGCACTAACTTCATGATTCTGTGTTGGGCTATATTCACAGCTAGCTATCTTGTGTCGCAGATGCCCCATGCACCACAGGCTGGACATGACTTGACATGTTCTGTTTTTAAAAAGTAAGGTTTTTGGCATGGCAGTGGTGGTGGTGCACACCTTTAATCCCAGCACTTGAGAGGCAGAGGCAGAGGCAGATCTCTGTGAGTTCAAGGCCAGCCTGGTCTACAAAGTTAAGTTTCAGGATGAGGGCTGTTACACAGAAAAACCCCGCTTCAAAAAAAAAAAAAAAAAAAAAAAAAAAAAAAAAAAACAAAAAACAAAAAAACAAAACAAAACAAAAAAACAAAAAAAAAAAAACAAAACAAAAAACAAAACAAAAAAAAACCCAAAAAATAACAAACAAATAAAAATAAGTAAAAACATAAGGTGTGTCCCCCACCCTTGTCTCATTTTTCGATATAGGGCTTCTCTATGTAGCCCTTAGAAATATCTCTGTAGACCAGATGGCCTCAACTCAGAGATCTGCCAGCCTCTGTCTCCCTGGAATGAAAGGTATGTGCCACCACTACTTGACTAGAGATTTCTTTCTTTTTTCTTTTTAAAAGATGTACTTTCAATCATGTGTGTTTATGTGTCAGTATTCACATTTGCGCACAGGAGCCCTTAGAAGCCAAAGGTATTGGATTTCTCTGGAGTTCAAGGGGTTGTGAGTAGTCTGACACAGGCACTGGAAATTGAACTTGGGTCTTCTGTAAGTGCAGTAAAGTGCTCTAAACTGCTGAGCCATATCTCTAGTCCCTGGAGATGATCATGACTTTTCCCCAGAGCCTCTAGATTAAAGAATTAGGTCTAGATGATCTTTGATTTGGGACTCATTACCTTGATCTTACACAAGCCTGCTTGGTGTTCTTGTTAAGACTATTTGATTAATAGTCCTGTATGGCATCAAACTCACTGTGTAGTCCAGGCTGCCTTTAACACATGGTCAGAACTTGTGCCTCTGCCCCAACCGCCAATGCTGAGATTACATTCATGTGCCACCAGGCCCTGTTCATCTGGGCTTCTGACTTGTAAAATGTTGAGTTATTATTAAGTGTTCCATTATTTTCCCCTCTGAGATGGGGTTTCTCTGTATACCCCTGGTTGTCCTGGAACTTACTGATGAGGGATGTCCTTCGGTATGCTGTGAATATGTGTTTCTCTTATTGGCTGGTGAATAAATGCTGATTGGCCAGTAGCAGGCAGGAAGTATAGGTATGCTGGGAATGCTGGGAAGAGGAACATAGAAGGAGAGTCTGGGGAGAGGGGAGAGATGCCATGTAGCTGCTGTGGCAATACATAGTTTAATAGAAATGGGTTGACAATTAAGAGCCTGAGCCATCGGCTAAACAGTTTATAATTAATATAAGCCTCAGTGTGTTTGTTTGGGATTAAAGAGCTACAGATCTGACAGAACAGAAACTCGGTCTTCACTTACTCTGTAGATCAGGCTGGCCTCACAGTCACAGAGATCTGCCTGCCTCTGCCTCCTGCATGCTGGGATTAAAGACATTAAAGGCATGCTCTACCACTGCTTGGCGAGGTGTTGTTTTAAAACATGAAGTAACAGTTTGTTACACAGGAGAAAGCTGTGTACGGCTTCTATGCTGGCAGTGCTGTCACTCAGGCCCACACCGAGAACAAAGCAAAGGTAGCAGAGGAGACCACATGCAGTTCTGGTACAGACCCATGTTCAGGAAGCCAGCACAAGTTTCCTCATCTACAATGCAGCTGAGCCAAAGGAAAGCCAGCAGCTCAGGGAAACACTTCTATGCTGGCATGTCTTTCAGAGAGCAGGTGTATTGTGAACCACAACACTGTGCTAACACCTGCAAACACAGACTCAGACACAGCCAAGAACACAGTCACAGCTGCTTACCTTCCTCAGGCCCAGACTCTGGACTGCTGGAATAAAGGTATGCTCCTTTCCCTCCCGTTAGCAATGTGCCCAAGAAACACTCATCCCCCTGTAAAAAACATTAGCAACAAAAAAGCTGGTGATTTATAGCATAAGAACTCATTAGACTAAAAACTCACCCATTTTATCAGTCTAAAAAGGTGAATATTCCAAACATATACCGTGTGCTTCGGCACCATCTGGTTCTTTGGCTTATTACCAACACTGTGAGGTTTGTTTTCTGTGACGAAGTCTCACTGTTGCCCGGGCTGGCCTCCTGTCTGAGCTTCCTGACTGTAGGGACTACAGGTGTGTCCTGCCTGTCACACCTGGCCTCGATACCCTACCTGTGGTGGTCTTGTTCCAGTGGACTGATGTCTGTGAAAAAGAAGTCACTTCTCTTTGGCCTACCACCCTGTCACCTCAGTTTCTGTGTAGGTCAATCTGGAATCTGCTTTCAACAGTGCTCAAGACAGTTGGGGAGATAGACAGCTCCATGGTAGAGGCTGCTGGCCTAGAATGTTCAAGGCTTTGAATTCGACTTTAAAAATGTTTTTAACACTAAAAAAGTCTAGGTGGAATTCCTCTCACTCTGTTCCCTCCCATAAGTGTTTCTTTCCCCAGAGGCCTAACAGGAAATGGAAAATGCTAATAAGAACCAAAGACAAAAAGTACAAACCCTTTCTTTGCTTAGCAGTTAAGATGAAATGGTTTTTAAAGGTTTTTTTTTTTTTTTCTTTGTTGTTGTTTAGTTTTTGAGACACGGTTTCTCTGTATAGCTTTGTAGAGCAGGCTGGCCTCAAACTCACAGAGATCAGTCTGCCTTTGCTTCCCAAGTGCTGGGATTAAAGGTGTACACCACTACCACTCAGCTTAAAAATGTTTAACATTTTTACGTGTAAATGGGTCTTTCATCCGAATGTATGTTTGTGTACCATATGTATGCTTGGTGCCCTTGGTGGCCAGAGAGGGCATAGGATCCCCTGGGAGTAGAGTTACAGATGGTTGTGAGCCAACATGTGGTGCAAGGAATAGACCCTGTGCCCTCTGAAGAGCAGCGAGTGCTCTTAACTGCTAAGTCATCACTCCAGCCCCAAGGTGAAATACTTTATCATTACAAATTGCTTATATTTGGGCCATTGTACAAAAATATTTATTTTATGTGTACGAGTGCTTTGCCTGCATGCATGTATGTGCGGCACGTGTGTGTCTGGTGCCCAGGGAGGCTGAAGAGGGCATGGAATCCCATGGAATTGGAGTAATGAAGAGTTATGGCCCACCATGTGGGTGTTGGGTCTCTGTAAGAGCAGCAGAACCATCCCTCTAGCTCCCACCTCAGGTTAATGATGCTATCTATCACTGGGAACAAAAATGCTGCTTACCCTTGTTGCTTGCAGGGCTTTCTCAGACAATTTTATTTCATTATCTTCTACCTGTAGCCAAAGGAAATGAAGAGTTTTCAATTTAGTGCTTCAAGGACAGAATCCTACTGTTTCTCCCTAGGTAGTTCCCCTCGGGCCCTGACATACTGGAGAAGATGCTGCTGGTCATCAGGGCTCAAGCACTAGGCCAAGGTGGGTTTTTCTGCTAGGACCTCAAGCCAGCTAATGAGCTCACATACATGGAGAGGATGCACAGTCTCCCCATGCATTTCACAGTAGGGGGAAATCACCTCCCGACAAATGGGAGCATAGTGAGGCCTTCCCAGCAGGTACTATAAGGTCTCGCTATACATTCCCAGCTGGTGTGGAGCTTGCTGTGTAGGTCAGGCCAGCCTCAAACTCAGAGATCTGCTTACTGAGTTCTAGGATTAAAAGTGTGCCACCATAGTCAAGACCAAGATGGGGAAACTCACAGAATCAGCTGACCGAAGTACTGAGATCGCTAACTCAGGCCTGACAAGTGGGGAACCTGCATAAGACCATAAGAACAACTAGACTCCTTTAATGTAGTTGACAATGGTGTGACTAGAACAATATATGAGGCCACGGGGGGGGGGGGGTCCAAGACCTAACACTAATGCACAAACTGACTTAGTGGAGCCCATTCTGTATGGAGAGATACCACGCCCAGCCTAGACACAGGGGTGTGGGGTGGAGAGGCGCCTTGGTCCTGACTCAACTAGATGATGGGACAGACTTACTAGACTTTCTCAGGGAGGCCTTAACCTCTCCATGGAGCAGATATAAGGGAGAGGGGGAGAGCAGGAGAAGAGGATGAAGAGGGAACTGGGATTGCAATTTAAAAATAAATTTTAAAAAAATGTGCCACCATGCCTAGCCAAAGCGCACCTTTTAAAAATATACATGTTAGAGCATGACTCTTTGTTTTCCCCTATCTACAACAGAACTGCAGAAACTGATTCTAAAATAGGTACTGAGATGATATCACTTAAGGGCAGGTCTTACTCAGTGCAGGCTGTGAGCCCCTGGGCAGGTGATGGCAATGAGGCATTGGAACTAGTTCCTGGCTATCATCACCTGTCCATGCTGCCCATTCATGGTGTGTGCATGTGTAATCTCAAAGCTGAAGATTTAGTTACGGGAAGCAAACTACATATAGAGCTTTCAATAAAGAAGATTTATATGGCCTGGCGGTGGTGACACATGACTTAAATCCCAACACTCGGGAGGCAGAGGCAAGTGGATCTCTATGAGTATGAGGCCAGCCTGGTCTGCAGAGCAAGTTCCAGGACAGCCAGGGTTATACAGAGAAACCCTGCCTCAAAAATACAAACAAAAACAAAGCTATATGCCTGTGCCCTCTGCACGCTGAGACTTCCCTTCAAGCTCAGGAAAAAGGAGCTTGCAGATTCTAAGCACTGACTCTTGGCCAGCATTTGGAGCACTGCTTTACCAGCTTGTCTCTGGTCATCAATCGCCCTTTGTTTTGTGGCCTGAGATGCTGTCACCAAGAAAGTCATGTATCCCTGCAGCAATTAAACTGTGAAATGCCAGATTCCTTGCTAACATATTTTCTATGTCCCAGCATTTCAAAGGTGGAGGCAGGAGGATCAAGGAGTCCCTGGCTACAGAGTGAGAAGTCTGTGGCCAGCTTGAATTACATGAGACCTGGTCTAGAACAAAATAAACAAAAACCCAAACTATATTTCAGACCAATCCTGATCAAAGAAAATGGGACTTTTCCACATGTAGAGGCACTTAGAAAAACAGCAGCAATCCCTCTGATAGTAGAGAAGAAATCAACTTCTCAATGTCTGCGAAACCCTGGACAGGTGACGGTGATGAGGCCTTGGACAGAGTTCCTGGATATCAGCCTAAGCTCCGTGTTCCATGTTCTCATCTATATGAGGGTGCTAATGTCATCCTTCAGAGACTTCACAAATAACTTTGTTGTCTTTTTGAAGGTTTTGAAGACTATGAGGGGGTTCTATCCCTAAATAAAGGCTAGCTCACAATCTGACAACTCTCCCGGAACTCTGTGAAGAGGCTCCTCCTTGAATCTCTGCCCCAGGGTTTTCTGGGTTTAGGCCCACTGTGACCAGAGCATGACACTAACCAACCAGGAAGAGAATCTGGGGATGGCCGCTGTCAGGATGATGTAGCTCGTTTCTGGGGTAACAGTGCCACCTGCCGGAAGACCAAAGACACACCAGTTATGCCAAGCTACCTTAGCTCACCTTGCAGGCCTACTCTGACAGAAAGTGTCCTTTCACTTCTCAGAAGCAAGGGCTCCTTTTAGCACAGAGTCTGGTGCTCCCCATGCCCACATCCCCCCCCCCTCCACACACAAAGGGAGCTTCCTCATCTATGGACAGAGAGACTAATGAGCTGACTGTGAAGGGTTGTTAAGTATTCTTCAGAACAAAGGGACACATGTAAAACCTCATGAATTAGTCCCTTTTACCTTTAATTTTTTTTTTTTTTAAATCAAGTACAGGTATTATGTATACCCATTAAAGTCACATCTGCCATTACCAGGTGTTAACAAAGCTGGAAGGTGAGCCATCTGAACCCTTTGACATGACACTGAGCTACAGGATTTGGAGCTTGCCTGGATGGGTTTTGATCTTGCTTTGGTCCAATACTTCCTCCCTGTGCCCTGATTCCTTCCTTTTGCAATGGTAATGTATATTTTATGGTACTGTATGTCTGAAGATTGTAATTTCCTTTTCGACTTCACAGGGGCTTACAATTAAGAGATTGCCTTGAGTCTCAGAAGATGCTTTAAACTTTGGACTTTTAAGCAGTGTTAAGACTGAAAGACTATGGGGACTTTTGGAATTGGACTCAGTGCATTTTGATAAGGCCAAAAGTCTGTGGGGGCCAGGGAGCAGAATGCTTTGGTTTGAGAATGGCCCCTTGTGGTGGTATCTTGCTTGTCCAAATAAAGCCTGTCTGAAGATCAGAGGAGCTTGCCACTAGCTAACCATAGAGGTCTGGAGGTCTGTACAGATAGGAAGTGACATGGCTGAGTGGAAACAGGAAGTGAGGTGGGAGGACAGAGACAGGAAGTGGGACGGCTGGGCAGAGAGAGGGTATAAGCAGGAAGAAACAGGAACTCTCCCTTTTCCACTGGGAAGCTAATGAGGTAAAGATGGCTTTGGTTTGCTCCTTCTCTCTGATCTCTCAGTATTTTCCCTCTATATCTGACTCTGAGCTTTTGTTATTTAGACCAATTAGAACTCCATTCACAGCCCCCATAAGCTCATATGTTTGAATACTCGGTCGCTACTTGGTAGATCTGTCTGTGAAGGTTTAGAAGTTACGGCCTTGTTGGAGGGAGGTGTCACAGGGAAGGCTTTGAGGCTTCAAAAGCCTCCCACCATTCCTAGAGTACTTTCTGCCTTCTGCTTCCAGCTCTCAAAATTCCTGCTGCCAATGCTCTGCTCTGTCATCATGGACTTTCTCTCTCTGAAGCTATAAGCCCAATTAAACTTTTTCTTCTGTAAATTGCCTTGGTCGTGTTATTTTGTCACAAGAGAACAGCAACTAAGACAGCAGCGTAATTTAATGAGAAGGATAACACATTATGCTGTCCTGCCCCTGTCACCTGGCAGAATGCACTCAGGCAGCACTCTGGTCAGCCCAGGGTTCCATGAGTACTACTAGTCTGCAGACAGGTGCAAAGGGCCCCTAAAAAGACAGACCCCGCCCACTTATGCTTTCTTTGCTTTTTCTGCTCTTTTGCTATTTCCGGCTCTTCTTTCTCCTCTCTCTCCCTCTCTCTCTCTCCTCTTCTGTTCCCGGTGCCTCTATGTCTCTTCCCTTCCCCCTCACTCCCCTTTCTAAATAAACTTCTCACTTAAGCTCTATCTGCCTGGCGTGTTATTCCCTCCACTTCGGTCACCCTCACCTGCTATGGAGCCTGCTATGCTCTCCCATGTGGTCCCTTACTTCGGGACCCCCACGTGGGACCATCCCCCTCTTCTCCAGCTTTTCTTCTATAACTGTAACAAAAGAACAACAGACTGCCCTCTTGTTGGAGCACTAAGCAGGGGTTAAAGTCCAAAAAATCTGCCTAAAACCTGTTTCATGATAACGACGAATTTGTGCTTTTGTGTGTGTGTGTGTGTCTTTTGATATTTTGAGACTATATACTCATTACTACATAGATATTCATTCTTCTAGAACTTAGCTATGTAGGCTAAAGTGGCTTTGACTTGTGGTAGTGCTTCTCCAGCCTCTGCCCCCAACTGCTAGATTTACAGACATGCTCTGTACTCACCATCACAAATAAGTTAAGTTCCTATTGTAAGCATTTCTTATGTTTTACTTCTTGTAAACAAGCAAAGCTGGTACAAGATGGGGCTACTTGGCAGTTTGGGACTTCCTGTTGCTGCCCCGGCTGCTATGAATAGAAGGACTGCACGTCAAAGGGCCAGCTAGATGACACATATGCCAACTGTTCTGAACAATCCACTAATATCTTAAGGAAACTACACAACAGTAACAGCTTATTGCTCCTGAAGGTGCAGCCTCAGCAAGAACTATCTCAGTTTATACCAGACTTTGCTATCACAAACCTTGGGAAACCCTAGACAACACACTAACCATTTCTACTGAGGCCACAGATGGGGCACTCCCCTGGTGGCCTAGCGGAGTGACTGTTGTGACTAAGGTGTGATCAGTGAAAATACACCTTTGTTTACATGCAGGGTACACTGTGACTGGTGTACAGCCCTCTCTGCTATATAACACGCTTGCTCAACTGGCTGGTAGACACCCTGTCTGCTGCCGCCTCTGGTTTTGCAATATTAAAGTCCAACATGAGGCTTCTCTCAAACGATCTCTTCTTGTCTACTTTTAGTGGTGCTTGCTGATCTGGTAACATGAAGAAGGAAGCAAGCGAGACTTAAGAGGGAATGATAGCATAGGCAGCAGAGTAGCAGCAATACCGAGCAGTTCATAGGCCAAGCCGCAGCAACGGCTTTACAGTGAAGGGGCAGATGAGCGCTTTGACAGTGGCTGAGTTTAAACAAGAGAGATGGCATAGGGAGATGGTGCACAGCTGGGGCTAAAGGACAGAAGACTCTGGGAAAAGTTCCAGAGAGCCCACAAGGTTTTAAGGCTAAAAGTCTCAGACACTCCAGGTCTGGGAGCTGTGGCAATGGCAACTGTCAACAGCAGAGGAATTCTGACACCTCAGCCCAACCACATGCTATACCAGCGGCTGCTAGGGGCTGAGAAATCCCAGTTTTCTAAGTCTACATAGGAGATGATACTTATAGAGTGCAGGATCCTAGCTTCCCAGGCTTACAAGGGAGGCGCTCACTCTTGGAGAACTGAGATTTCTGCTACCCAAGGCCTGTAATGAGGGCTCTAGGACTACAGGGGGCCCTTGTTGCCCAACACCAAGATTTACAAAAATTTCTTATGCAATCATGATTTCTGTCAAAGCAGAACAAAAGGACCACAGCTGGTTAAGTGGTGACTGTGTTAGCACCACACATTATCATCCTTTACAGTTTCCTCTTTTGGCCAGCATAAGGAGTAATAAGTGGTATTCAATTTCTACTTTATAGATTGTTTTCTCTTGACCATTATTGTGGCTGCATATCTTCATATACATAAATCCATCTGTCTCATTTGCCCGTGTAACTACTGAATAGCACAATTTTTCTTGTTAACTGGCAAGTACTATTCACTAGTTAGAATATATACCATTTTCTTACTGTAAGTAGTTTAACATATTAATCAGTTTATATCACCTTTGGCTTAATTTACTATTTTATAATTTTTTTTCAAGGCTTGCTTTCTAGACATCACATACACTTACCCTTTTCTTTAACCAGGATCCGAGATGTCAAAAATGACTCTGAGAAGACCACAGAGCCTAAGCATCCTCCTCCTCCCAGTAAGTCAGGAATGTCATAGATGGTCATACAAGCCTATGTTAGTGAGAAGGAGGGCATGAGACATTCTCAGCCTGGAATTTCAAGAGGAGAAGCACAAGAAACACACCAGCCTATTGCTGCAAGGCACATGGCAGAAGAATATTGACAAATCTCTAAGGATCTATGCTGAAACACACTTTGAACTGAGAAATGCCTTCAGGCTTTCCATCAGGTGATCCCTGATTTGAGACATGCACAGGCTCGAAGGACAGTATCTTTATGTTCTTATAAATTCCCTCAAATTGTCATCCTCCTAAGAGCAACATAGTCCTTCTTCTTTTCCTTTTTAAACTTAATTAAAAAAATATATATCTATATATGTGCAGTTACCTATAGAAGCCAGAAGAGGGTGTTGCAGTTAGTTGTGAGCCACCCCACAGGAGGGCTGTGAACTTGAGTCTGGGTCCTCTGCAGGAGCACTCCCTGCTTTCAACTGCTGAGCCATCTCTCTCCAGCACCACAGCCTTCATTCTTTGTTTTTTTTTTTTTTTTTTTAAGATTTATTTATTTATGTATACGAGTGCTCTATTTGCATGTCTGCCTGCATGTCAAGAAGAGGGCATCAAATTCCATTGTAGATGGTTGTGAGCCACCATGTGGTTGCTGGGAATTGAACTCAGGTCCTCTGGAAGAGCAGCTAGTGCTCTTAACCTCTGAGCCATCTCTTCATTCTTGATAATGACTGACGACAGCTTAGAGAGTCACAGCTGTTTCCTCAGGCTTTTGAACACCCGATCACCTCATATTCTCACAGCATCACACTTCACCGGTCCTTTGGCTTAGGCTTCAGCTCTCTCTCAGTGAGCAAGGAAAGGTGCTGGGAAAGGTATTCATTAAAAGCTGGTATACACAGCTGCAAATGATCATTGCAGCACAGCAGAGCCCCCTGCTGTCTGAGCCATGACTGTACTCACTGTGATTTCAGCTACTCAGGGCCAACAGTGGACTCAAAGTATTGAACGGTCAACTCCAGAAATAAGCAATGCATGGGATTTAAATCACATTCCATTCTGGACAGAATGGCTACATTTTATGCTTGGGATATGAACCATCCCTTTGCCCACAGCACTTTAAAGTGCATATACTATTATCTGTTAGTCTACAGCCGTCTGAGTTATCAGACTGACTTATCATTGTGTCATCATGTTCATAGTAGGGTTTTTTTTTGTTTGTTTTTTTTTTTTTTTTTTTGAAGAGTTGAAAATATTTTAACAGTGTTAAAAGGGAAAGATCGGCATTCAAAAAGGAAAGTCAAACACCACATAGGCAGGTGTCTGTGAGTTCAAGGACAGTCTGGTCTACTAGTAAGTTCTAGGCCAGGCAGCAGTGGATATTGGCTTCTCTACAGTTGCCAATTCTAATTTATTTAAAAACTGGCCCTGTGTCGGTCTTAGTGGCACAAGACTTTAATCCCAGCACTGGGAGACAAAGACATGAGGATCTCCATGAGTTCAAGGCCAGCCTGATCTATAGAGCGAGTTCCTCACTATGTCCTGATTCCTTCCTTTGAGACTAATGTACATTCTGTGCCATTGTATGAAAAGTATGGGTGGTTTGAAAGAAAATGGCCCCCATAGGGAGTGGCACTATTGGGAGGTGTGTTCTTGTTGGAGTAGGTGTGGCCTTGTTGGAGGAAGTGTGTCACTGTGGAGGCGGCCTTTGAGGTCTCCCCTATGCTCAAGATACGACCCAGTGTCTTACACCAAACCATTTCCTGTTGCCTGCAAGCCAAGATGTGACACATGCCACTACTTCTCCAAAACCATGTGTGCACACTGCCTGCCATGATGATGATAATGGACTAAGCCGCTGAAAATGTAAGCCACCCCAATTAAATGTTTTTCCTTTTTAAAAGTTGTGTGTCCCTTCACAGCAGCATAATTAAGACAGTATGCAATCTGCTTTATTTGACAGGAGGTTCAATTAAGAGATTACCTACCTTGAGTCTCAGAAGAGACCCTGGACTTGTAAATATTCTTGAGACTAAAAGGCTATGGGGATTTTTGAAGCTGAACTAAATTTGCATTATGATATGGTTATGAGACAATGGGGACCACAGAATGGAATGTGGTGGTTTGAATGAGATGTCCCCCACAGTCCTGGACATGGAATACTTGGTCCCCAGTCGGTGATTGTTCAAAGAGGATTAGGAGCTGTGGCCTTGTTGGAAAGTATGTCACTGGGGGTACACTCTGAATTTCAAAAGACATGTGCTATTTCCAGTTAGCTCTCTCTGGTTTTCTGTTTGTGGATTGAGATGTGAGCTTTCAGTTGCTCTTCCAATGCCTGCCTGCCTGCCTACCTTGCTGCCATGCTCCCCACCATGATGCTAGTAGACTCTTCTTCCTGCAAACTCTTCCTTGTATAAGTAGTCTTGACCATAGGGTTTTACCACAGCAACAGAAACCTGTTTGCTTTTTTGTTGTTTGTTGTTTTTTGGCTAGGGCGGCTGGCCAGAGAGCTCTTGAGATCTACCTGTTTCTATGCTCGCAATGCTGGAGTTACGGGTATGTGTAGCCACGCCAGGACACATGCTTGCAGAGCCACCATCCTCCCAGCAATTCTGTCACGTGCTGACTCTTTAACCACATGCTTCCCTTCTTCTTTCACCTTCCTTTCCTCCTTCACGTCACGACTTAAATATCGATACCTTCAGCCCGTCATATATTCGTTTACCTCACAGCAGCTGTGTGCCTCTGCCGCCAACATGGTTACATCAGGTACCTTTCCACAGTCAGTCATCCGATATGTGCACCCCTTAAAAGCGTCCACCAGGCTCTGCTCACTCTCTTTACCTTTCTTGTCTCTTTTGCCTTACACCTCTCTTTGCCGTTTCTTTCCCCTCTTGCCTCTCCCTCCTCTCTTCTTCCTCTTGTCTGTCTGCCTGCCAGCCTCTCTCATGTTCCCACTCCGACAGGGCCTATCACTGTTTCACTCTCCCTCCCCGCTCCCCCAGTAAACCTCTTGCACTAACTCCGTTGCTGTGTGGCATGTTTGCTTAGTGGTAAACCTTGGCAGGACCCGCTGAAATGTGCTCAACTTCACCTCACTTTTTTAGTCATCATTTCAATATATGTTACATTTTCTCCACCCAGTACCCTAGTATCCCAATCTCCAAACCTTAAAGGCGACATGGGGTGGTCTGCAAGAAAATGATCCCCAAAGGGTGTGCCTTGAAAGTAGGGATGGCCTTGTTGAGGAAGAATGTCACTTTGGGAATGGGCTTTGAGGTCTCATACGCTCAATCTATGCCCAGTGTGGGATGTAGTTCACTTTCAAGATGTAAGAACTCTCAGCTCCTTCTCTAGCACCATGCCTGCCTGCCGCTGCCTTTGCTTCCCTCCATGAAGATAAGGGACTAAACCTCTGAAAATGTAAGCCACCCCAATTAAATGTTCTTCCTTTTAGAAGAGTTGCCATGGTCATGGTGTCTCTTCACAGCAAGTGAAACCCTAACTAAGACAGGCATTGGTACCATGGACTGGGGTACTGCTGTGATAGTCCTGGACATACTTTTGTTTGAAGGAATATGGACCTTGGAACTATAGATTAAAAGGGCAGTTGAATGCTTTAAATGCTTGGTTTTAATCTACCATCTTTTCATGTTTGTTTGCTAATACTCTTTTATGTCAGGGTTGCCCTCGAGTAAATGGAGCCCTTGGTTTGTGGCTGAAAATAGCCTACAAATTCCAACTTCTTCAGGCCCTGCCACTTTACATCAGTGACCATATTTCAATATATATATATATATATATATATATATATATATATTGTGTGTGTGTGAGGTAATTTATTTAATTTAAATTTGAAACAAGCTAGTTTTACATGTCAATCCCAGTTCTATTTTTATTTTTGTTTTGTTTTTTGAGGCACAGTTTCACTATGTACTCCTAGCTGGTCAGGAACTCTCTATGTAGCTCACGCTGGCCTCAAACTCACAGAGATCTGCATGCCTCTGCCTTTGGAGAGATGGAACTAAAGGTGTAAACGCCACGCCTGGCTCAGTTTATTTGTAAATCATTCCACTGCCCCAGCAGAGGATACGGAAACTCTGCTCTCACTCCCTGACTTCACAAGACACACAGGTATCTGTGCACTGTTGTCTAATTCCCCTGGTTCCTGTGAAGGCAGCCAATGCAAATCTTACAGTGAAGAGAAGCAAGGCTGGAGAGATGGCTCAGCAGTGAGAACACGTGCTGCCCTTCCAGAAGGTCAGAGTTCCTTTCCCAGAGCCAACACTGGACAGCTCACCACTGCTTATAACTCTAGTTCCAGAGGATCGGATGCCCTCTTCTGCTCTTTACTGGATACTAGCATACATGGTGCATACACACAAATAAAAAATAAAAGTCTTAAATGGAAAAAAAGGAAACTTGAAAACTTGTTTGTTGTGCTCAGTTCACATTTCCACACAAGGTAATCACAATCTCAGCTGCCTGGAGAACTTGTCAGTCATCTACTCTCAACAAATCCTTTGCAGATGACTCGCTATAGCCACCCCAGCCAGCTGACTCTTAGTAAGAGTGCTGCTAACTGCTTACCGTTTTCACAAAGGATAAACTATCTTCATTATCCAGAGGCACAATTCTAGAAGACAGAGACAGTAGAGAAATACATTAAAAGATTATAGTTTCTGTTTGTTTTAAAACAGGGCCTCATATGACCCAGGCTGGCTTCAAACTCACTATGACAACTGAGGAATAGAGGCAGGGAGCCCAGAAGTTTAAGGGTAGCCTGAGCTATAGGAGACCCCTCTCTCAACAAAGAACAAAACAACAAACATTGGGTTACATGTGTATAGAATTAGCACTGGAAAGAATAATGTTAGTACCTGACTCCAGGCTCTTAACTTTCCATCAGAAAAATTGGGTACAGGGACTCAGACCAGTGCAGCAAGTGCAGGTCCAAGCCTGGAATGGCACCTCTCCCAGACTCCAATGGTAGTAGCTATTAGGTCTCGGTCTCTCTCTCGCTCTCGCTCTCTCTCTCTCTCTCTCTCTCTCCCTCTCGCTCTCTCCCCCTCTCCCTCTTCCTCTCCCTCTCCGTCTCTCAGATACAGTCTTACATATCCCAGGCTGGCATTACACCTCCGAGGTATTGGAGGATGACCATAAACTTATGACCTTGTTGCCCTTCCTGAGTCATCTCACTGGCCCTCAGGTCTCACTCTTGATCCCCCTGCCTCTGCCTCCTGAGTGTTGAGATTACAGGCATGTACCACAACTGAACAGCCTCTTCTCTTTGTCCTTACACTTCCCCATGAAAGGAGTAACCATAATTGCACCTACCTTCCCTGGTTATTCACAGCATGTATATGAAAAGCCACCTTGGAGCTGCAGACCAGAGAGGAAACAAAATACAAGTCAAGACTCTTGTTCAACACTGGGTCAGAGTCCTCTGAAATACTTACTTCCTCAGTGTATCTTCCCTGGACTGTCAAGGCCACTCAATCAATTGATGTATAGCTTTTGTTGTTGTTTGTTTTATATACAGGGTCTTACTATGTAGCTCTAGCTGTCCTGGAACTCACTATGTAGACCAGGCTGGCCTCAAACTCATAGAGATCTTTCTGCCTCTGCCCCCCCCAAGAGTTGGGATTAAAGGCATGCACCATTACTGTTGGAGTGTCATCCCTGCTTAGTTATTGTAGATGCCTTTCTCAAGGTCACACGACATCACCAGGTGTGGAACAAGGATCTTATTCCACCCACTGCCCTGCATCTGTGCTGGTTCTCAAGTCTCAAGACTGCCCTAACAATACACACTGCAGACTGGGAATGGCCCTCTCCTGCCCCAGGGCTCCTGCTCCTCAGTGTCTACAGACTACTCGGATCCTCCTCCTTTTCAGTTCTTCTGGGTCAACTTGCTAGCCCTGCTCTGTACTCAAGCTTTTGCTATCCAAAGCCTTCAGAACCGAAGGACAACTTCCCTGCTTTTCCTCTGGGAGACAAAGGTCTTTCTGAGATAGTCTCCCTGTGTGTCCTTGAATTGCTCTGTAAATCTGTCTGGCCACAAACTTGTAGGGATGCTCCTGCCTCTGCCTGCTGAGTGCTGAGATTACAGACACGTGCCACCAAGCTCAGCCTTTGCTTACTCTTTCTGTAAAAACTTTTTTTCAACATTTATTTTATACATGTACATGTGTGTGTGTGCACACCACCCCATACACGAGGAGGTGAAAGGACACCTTGCAGGAGTTAGTTCTCTCCACTCACCACGTGGGTTCTGGGAACTGCATTCAGGTCACCAGGCTTGGCTTACCTGGGAAGCTACCTTGTCAGCCCACGAAAGCTGTAAAATTGCATGTGCTTATACAAGCTTAACTTCAGGGTTTAGCAAGAACTAGTCAGTAACACATGAGCTTCCTGTGTCTACAAATTGTTCTTTCTTCCTCCCCGTTCTACGGGAAGACACACTAATGTGATGAACTTAGGGACATCAGTGAAGTGATCCTGGTGGAGGGAAGGAGTTATGGCTTCAGACTGAAGACTAGCCTGGGAGACTTTCTTTCTGCTCAGTCATTTCTCCTTATGCATACCTCCAGCTACGATGTTTACTCAGGCCCAAGAAACAGGTGGCATGGGCAAGAGCTGGAGGGACAGGAGGAACAGAGTGACTGTGTCAGCCTTGTGGGCAGAGAAGGCCCCACTACCACAGCAACTAAGATCTACTTGTCCAATCACTCTACAAAGCGAGTGCTCCAGAAACAGATGTGGAAGGTTTCCTATCTCTCTTAATCAGCACAGCAGGAGAAGGAAATGCCTCTGTTTCTCCCCTTTCATAGCTAGGACCTCTGGGAAAGGAGACCTGCAACAAGATGAAGGCCTTGCACCAGGGCTCCTACTCTCCCCTCCACTCCTGGAGCTGCAGCGATGCAACAGAGTTCTTTTGTCACGTCAGCCACCTAACCTACCTACCAAATGCTCCTTTCTTCACTACTCGGGGCCACAGAGGTTTAAAAAAGGTGGGGCACGCACTAACAGGTAATATGGCAGGGCACACGCAGAAGTATTTTTTTGTTTTTTTAAAGATAGAGAAAGGTAGAGTGTCTTACTATTATGTAGCTCTGGCTGTCCTGGAACTTGGCAAACGGATCAGGCTGGCTCTAACTCACAGAGATCCACCTGCCTCTGTCTCTGAAGTGCTGGGATTAAAGGCGTGTGCCACCATGCCTGGTTAGAAGTATTGTTAAACAAACTTTCCAGTATTGGCCTTTCATATCCTTTGTATAAAACTGCACCAAAAAACGGTCTTCTTGTGGGATGGAGGGTGGAGTGGACTGCGTTCAGGAAATTCAGCTATGCATGAAGACAGCACAGAGCCTACAGGGACATGTGGGAGATGTGACAGGGGCACAAGGAGTCGCTCCCTACCACCTGGAGGCAGGCGAGCTCGAGGGCAAGTCTCTTTCAATCAGTGATTATCTTCATGTGCCAAGTCCCTGCCACTCACAACTCTACCTCTGAGGTTCCCTGCTTTACCTCCTTATCTCTGGGGCCAGGCCCATCAGGGCGCCCACAGCTCTAGTATAAAACTGCCTCACATTCTAGCTTCAAAACCTGTGTGTGATTCTTCCTGCTACAGCTCCTCCATCCTGATCATGAGTGAGTCTCCTTCATCCTATTGTTTCACTGGAACAGTTCTCAAAAGGAGAGAAGGGTGAAATGTAAATTATAAGGGACAACGAGATCTTTAATTTTTTTCTTAATTCTCATTAAAAAATACCAGCTATAGCTTACCGTAGATCAGCTTTGAATGGAACCAACTCAGTGAACATTAGCCCAGATTCCAAAGTATGCTCTGCTACTTCCTTGGCCTGTAAAAGCAGCAACAAAACAGTTAAGTTTCCAAGCAGCAAAAGTATATATACATGTATCACTGATAGGAAAGGCCCTTCTAAAAGGTGGCCCTTCCCTTCTATGTGACTACTTTGTATACCTCCAAAGCTTAAAGTGAAAGCATCAGGTTATGGGGACAGGTGCCTGCTGGACTCACAGGAAACTGTACTTGGGCAGGGGCGCACTGGCATCTGATCTGCTGGAGAGATGGAAGCAGCCAGTTAGGCAGCTGGAGTGCTGCTATGTGAGCACTAGAAACGTGCTGTTGTGTCCCCGCTCCCTCGGCTCTGGGGAGGGACCAAAGCCCTCAGTTTCTGCTAGACATTAAGAATATTTAAATAACTCAAGTTACAGATGATCAGTTAGGGGGGAAAAAAGATGTGAGAACGTATACTGAAGAACATCACATGGCTTTGCACAGGCTTTCTACTTTGTAGCAGCTAAAAGAGCTGAGAAAACCCACATCAGCACCAGGATTCAAGTTCAGTAGGAAGGAGGTTGGATGCCAAGGAGCTGGAGACTACAGCTACAGTCCCTCTGATATCTACGTCATACACAACCTTTCCACTGTCAACTGGCTTCCTTCAGGAAAATTCCTACTGGCTTTGGAAGGCATCAAGCTGTCTCTTCTCATCTTACTGGGTCAGATTTAGGAATCCAACTCAGCAGGGCAGGTTAACCGCAAACAGCAAGGAAGAAAATGGTCAGAAAGCGAGTATATATGCAGGCTTGCCTAGGAAAGGTAAGTCAGATTCTCTAGCCTGAATTGAGTTTTAAACACTCAATCACAGGAATCAACTACACAGGTCAAAATAAGCTTTACTGCTTCATTAAAATTCAATGTGATAATCTGGTTTTCTTTGACATCTCAAAGTGTCCTGTCTAAACTATTAACCAAACAATAACTTTAACGCAAACAGGTGTTTATAAACATTCATAAAATAATAGCAGCATGCCCATAGGCGGCAGCAGCTCAAGTGTACAGGCTTGGCTACCAGTGCCCTAACTCACATAAAAGTGAGTACTGCAAGGCATCCAAAGAACAAAATGGTTAGGATGATTTACAATATAATGACTACCAAAACAGAAATATGGTACTTAAATTACCTTTGCCAGACTGCAAGTTTTAGCATAACATGCAATGCCAGCCAAAACAGCCTCAATAACAGCAGCATATATCTGGGATAAGAGCCTACTTTAAAAACAAAACAAAAAAATAATGGTTAATATAGTATCACACAGATTCATAAAAAAAAAAAAAAAAAAAAAAAAAAAAAAAAAAAGCTATGCCTGGGGCAGAAGAGATGGCTCAATGGTTAAGAGCACTGGCTGCTCTTCCAAAAGGACTAGGGTTCAATTCCCAGCACTCTCACGGTAGCTCGCAACTGTCTGTAACTCAGTTCGAGGGGGATCTGATGTCATTTTCTGGCCTTCACAGGCAATGCATACACATAGTACACAACATACAAGCAGATAAAACACTTCTTCACATAAAATAAATTAAAAAAATATTCTTTAAGGAAAGTTATATGCCCATAAATGGTAGTCCATAAGTTGTGTGTAAGGCAGGCTAGCCTCAAACTATCTTCCCACCTTCCAAACTGCTGGTATTGCAGGCATAAAGCACCAGGTCTGTTTCCTAAGAAATCAACTTTTAATAATGGTTTTAAATAAACCAAGACTGGGGGCTGGATATGGCTCAGAGGTTAAGAGCACTGCCTGTTCTTCCAGAGGTCCTGAGTTCAATTCCCAGAACCCACATGGTGGCTCACAACCATCTATAATGAGATCTGGTGCCCTCTTCTGGTGTGCAGGCACACATGGAGGCAGAATGTTGTATACATAATAAATAAATAAATAAATAAATCTTAAAAAAAAACAAACAAACAAAAAAAAAATGGAACTAACAGAAAAATGAAACTCTTAAAACTCATGTCAAAAGAAACTCTCACCTTTAACTCATAGCTCTGGTTTAACTCATAAACTGTGGGTGCTGGGAATTGCTTGGCAAGGAATTGATAAGACTTCACAGAGAATACATGATTTGAAATCTGTGAGACTCTTCTAATGGTTTGAGGGTGATAAGAGTTTAACATATGGGCTAATACACAGCAAGCAATGTCTCACAAAAGTAGCAGAGGTTGTCTAAGGTCACAGAAACAGTAAACTTGAATGATTCTCAGCTTGGTACCACTCCACATTGTCATCTCCTTCAATTCCTTACCTCCTGTCTCACACCTCCACTTTACAGGTAATAATTCAGAGTTAAAGAAGAAAATAGAACAAAAGTTCAAATAACAAAATGAAAAGCCAGGATTGGTAGTGCGTGCCTTCAATCCCAGCAGTGTGGAGGCAGAGGCAGGCAAATCTCTGAGTTTGAGGCCAGCCTGGTCTACACAGTGAGTTACGGGACAGCCAAAGCTACATAGAGACACTGTAGGATATGCTGAAGAGACAAAGGCAGGAGGACCACCAGTTGAGACCAACACAGACAACACATTCTTGGGATAGAAAGATTGATGAGTGGTTTAGAATAGCTTTAGCAGAGAACCTGGATTGAATTCCTAGCACTAATGTGAGGTATCACTGAATCGGCCTGGCAGGTTTACTGACAATGAGTTTGTCAACTTCTGGGTAAAACTAGAAAGATTTCTCCACACCATGACATGTGAGTGAATGATTTGTGCTTTTTGTTGTAATTGTTTTGTTTTTGAGGCAGGGGCTTCTGAGGCCTAAGCCAGCCCTGAAGTTTTTTTTGTAGCCAGGAATGATCTTGAAGCATCTGGATCCTCCTTGAATGCAAATATGAAGATATAGATGTGTGCCACCAAACTGGATGGGGTAAAGTTATATAAAGACTACACTTCTGGGTATACAAAGATACCCGCCTCACTGCCTTGGTTCAAATATCACTCAATCTAACACTGGCTAAGTATATCCCTCCCCTCTGTACTCCTTGATTCAAATACCACTCAATATAATACTAGCTATTCTGCTTTACTGTGCCTTATACAGAACTTCAGACAAAACCTCAATACAGAACATGGCCCGTGTAGTGTTAGTGTCACCTTTACCAGGGTTCCATGATGTCCAGGTCCCCACTAGCACTGTGATTTGGAATATCTGACATGGGTCTAAGTACTCCTTAATATTAACCAGGAATGCAAGGTGCCAGTGGATTTAGTTTAGGTAATTATCAAATGATCCAGAATGAGAATCTTAGGCAGTGGCTAAGCACAGAGGGCATGGAAATGTAAAAAAGGGTCAGCTTGCTACTAAAGTGAAAGAAATGTAAAAAACAAACAAACAAATACCTGACATATACATTATGGTTAAAGTAACATATAATTTAAAAACACAATGTTTTGCCCCCAAAGTTTAATTATGTGTGTGGGTACCCAGAAGCCAGAAGAAGGCACCAGATCTCTTAGATCTAGAGCTGCAGGTGGTTGTGATGAAATGGCAACGGCACCTTGTCCTGACTCTATCTTGTGTCTGTCTAGACATTCTTCAACCTGCCTTGGCAACACTTTTGGGACTGGCCATGGCCCTGACCATGGTCCAGAAGTATTAGCCAGAATAACTGACATGAGTGCAGCCTAAAACTTAAACTAAAATAACAGGAAGTGGAAATCAGAAATCACTGACTCCATATGGTGTCTGGAAAATACTGCTAAGCTTGCAGAAAGATGTTGCTCTGATCTTGCCAAAACACTGATGTAATTGTGGGGTTTGTTTTTAAAACGCTGTACTCTGGGCTGGAGAGAAGGCTCAGTGGTTAAGAACACTGGCTGTTCTTCCTGATGACCCGGGTTCAATTCCCAGCACCCACATGGCAGCTCACACCTGTCAGTAACTCCAAGATCTGACACCTTCACACAGACATACATGCATGCAAAATACCAATGCAAGTAAAATAAAAATAAATTATGTTAAAAAAAAGAAATAGGATCTGATACCCTCTTCTGGCATGCAGGCAAACATGCAGACAGAGCACTCATACCAAAAACAACAAAACCAAACAAAAAACGGTGTACCCCCAAGCTTCAACCCCAACAGACTTTGAGGCATGAGCCCACCCTCAATGGACAGCTTATAAAAGAACTCATATACTTTTAATTGGCTTAATTAGCATAGTTGTCAGTCACTGTCTCTAGTGGATCATTTAAGTGAGCAGCTTAACATAGGTGCTGGGAAGTTAACTCTGGTCCTCTCAACCACTGAGCTATCTCTCTCTCCAGCACCACAGGAAGATATACTGCACATAAAAATATTAAAGATAATGCCAGAAAGAATTATGCATGGTCTATGTTCCTTTCTCAATTTTCCATTTTCAGTATTGGTTACACAATTTGTATTCTCTTGTGGCAATTCACCTCCTTCATCCTCCTCAGCACCGAGACTGACAGCGTTAGCTGCCACACGTGGCTCCCTTGCCACAATAAAAGGCAGACTAACTGCACATGGTTTGCTCACACCTGTAATTCCAACACCCAGGAGACACAGGTGATGGGGGATGTCCTGTCTGTATGCTGTGAATATATGTTTCTCTTATTGGTTTAATAAAACGCCGATTGGCCAGTAGCCGGGCAAGAAGTGTAAGTGGGGCTACCAGACCAGGAGAATGCTGGGAAGAGAAAGGCAGAGAGAGCCTCCAGAGAGACGCCGCATAGCTACCGGGAAGATTGGATGCCCGGCATTCTCGGGTAAAATATGGTCATGTAGAAATACGTAGATTAATAGTTATGGGTTAACAATTAAGAAAGCTAGCCAGTAAGAAGCCTCAGCCATTGGCCAAACAGTTTATGAATTAATATAAGCCTCTGTGTGTTTATTTGGGACGGAAGGCAGGAGAGATCTCAGCAAATTCCAGACCAGCCAGACCCTTGTAAATGGCTAACTATTATCACCTTGACACAAACTAGAATCACCTAGGAGAAAGCTTTGGAAATGTCTGTAATAGATTGTCTAGGTTAGGTTATCTTTGATGATTTACCTAAATGTGGGCTTTACCACCTATGCACACAAGGCAGTCCTTTGCTTCCTGACCATGGGTGCAATGAGATCAGCCACTTCATGTCCTTCTGGCCAGGAAGTCTTTGCCATGACAGACTGCACACTTTAACTGTGAGCAGGAATAAACCCTTCTTCCTTTAACTTAGCTTCATCGCATATGTTACTTATTAATTTATTCATTGTCATCATTATTCCTGTATGTATATGTATTATGTGTGTTATGGGGTGAGGAGTGTGCATGACAGCTTATGTAGTCAGTTATTTCCATTCACCTTCCCGAGACAGGGTCTTTCTGGTTGTTCCTGCTGCTATGTGTTCTTCTATGCTAGTTGGCCCATGAGCTTCCAGGAAATTCCTCTGTTTCTGCCTATCCTGACACAGGAATACTAGAATTACAGATATAAGCCATGGCATCCAGATTTTTATGGGCTCTGGGAATAGAATTCAAGTCATCCACCTTGCTCAGAAAGTGCTTTTACCTGTTAAGCCATTGCTGACGCTTTTATTTTATACTTAAAAAACTTTTATTTATTGATTTGTGTATGGGAGGGTTTGCAGCATGCACCCATGTTGTGTAGCAATTTCTTCCCATATGAAATAGTCCATCCTAGAGGAAATGCTCATTAAAACTCAGGAAATTCTACTTCTAAATTTTATTTTCTTTATCTTTTTGGTCTTTTAAGACAGGGTTTCTCTGTGTAGCCCTGGCTGTCCTGGAACTCAGTCTGTAGACCAGGTTGTCCAGAGATGCATCTGCCTCTGCCTCTCGAGTCCTGGGATTAAAAAACATGCCTGGCAAGACTTAGGAAATTCCAAAGAAAAGCTGATGAAGACTCTGAGAGTAAACAACTTGTTCAGTCTCAGAAGTCCCTGAAACTGACCAACTGCACTAGGCCCCTCCCTCTCCAGGGTTATGTGTGCAGTAAAGGCTGCTGAGGAGACTCTCCAACAGGCTCAGCTGCCTGCAAGTCACGCAGAGAGCTTCGTCACCAGGGTGGGGTGGGCAGTCAGTGACGCAGTCATAGCTGCCTTTGGGATATCCACGCTTATGTAAGTAACCCTAATAAACTCACTGGTTTACCAAGCTGAACTTTTGTGGTAACGTGAGGAGCTGTTTGTTTGGTCTCCCCAGGAGCTGGGTCACACAACAGTGCACCATACGCATGTGGAGGTCAGAGAACTCAAGAGAGTTGGTTCTCTCCATCTCTCTGGTCTCGGGGATTGTACGCCTGGCAGTGAGCAGTCTCACCTGCTGAGCCACCTGGCTGCCCCTCCTTCTTAAATTTTGTATTTGGCCAGGAATTTTATCATGGTCACAAGGAAAGTAACTAATACAACCCTGTCTCAAGAAAAAAATGTAGTAAGCAGCCCTTCACGTGTAGTGAGCGATTGTCGTGTGCAGTAAGCACTGTCACGTGGAATGCCTCACGTCTGTGGTTGCAGAAGCTTCACTATGATCACTGCATGGCCTTTGAGAGTTGCTTGTGCTCCCTGCACTGATTATCACTCCTCTCCAACTGGAGAAGGAAGTCATCATTTTGCAGCCTGTGTGGGAAGGGGATGGCACTGTCCAACCAGGCAGAATAACCAGAGCAACCATGATTTTTCAACAGCAATGCTGCAGTCAGATTACTCTCACACACAGAAACCTAGTTCATGATGAAGTGATCTACAGACAACTATTTGTGGCCAATCCCTGCCCGCCTTTGGGAAGAAGTGGTTTAGAAGTCACAGTTATGCCGGGCACTCGGGAGGGAAGTTAATACTAAGTAGGACCTCTCTAAAGTTACACTGCTGATATTTAGAACACAGCTCTGTTCCACAAGCCTGAATGTCAAGTCTAAAGAAAATACTCTTCAGACCATATGAGATAACAGATTTCCCCAAGGAACTGCAGAATGTTTCAGTTTTGGAAAAAAACCTCAATTAAATGTTTTACTGACTATGAAATGTATGAAAGGAAGTTATGTCATGCAGATGCATGGGCGCGCACACAGGAAGTTGGGAAGGTTCCAGAGGGAGGAGCACATGACAAAGCTGGCAAAGCACTCTGGCCCAAGTTCCAAGCGGAGAGGTTCTGGGGACTGACTGGGAAAATGCATGAGGAGCAGTGTCTCCTCATGACCAGGCGCCAATCACTGCTGACCTCAAGGGGAGGCAGGAGAGCCACAAAGCTGGAAGAACTAAGACTAGCACAGGACTTACATTTGCTCAGTTGTCCTGGGCAGCTTGTCATCATCTCCTATAAGAGAAATGTTTCCTTTTAAGTTAAATACAACATATGCCACCCCCTCACCCTTTCTCAACTCATTCCACAGAACCTCAGGCTCTGGAATGTTTTTTATTTTAGAAAAAGTTTAACTTTGAGGTTCTGCCCCCCCCCATACCCCCAGTTTCCTGGTTTCTGTATTAGCTAACAGCTTCTGATACGCTGACCTTTGGGAAGCGATGACAGGAGCCACACTAATCCAAGTGTCCCCCATGTCTCTTTGGACACCTGAAGCTTCAAAGTAAGCCAGCAAGCAGGGTCTCCCTGCTCAGCCTAGTCCTCCTGAAGGACACTACACAGGTCCTCAGCTACGGGCGCGTCCTATGGCAGCCAATTCTCCCTCATCTCACAAAAGCAACTAGGCAGGACTTCAGCCATGGTATCCAAAGTCACACCATCTCCCACATCCCCGCTATCTCAGACTATGTCTAAGTAAAGTCGGCCTTTCTTTCGACACTGAGAGCAGGGCAGACACAAGGCTAGACCTCAAACTATAGGATGAATCAACGGTTCTTCCCCTGAAATGCATTCTTGGAGGAATGAGTTAGATACATCAATTCTCAAGTTGCAATCAGGGAAGGAGTCAAGGTCCACAAGATGGCATTTTGCATAAAATAGTAAATTGTGTGTTAACTTCCCCTTTGTGGGAGAAACCATTATGTATTAATGGAGACTTACCCAAGTAAGGAACATGAGAAGCACCAAAAAAGTACGTCCTTGAACATGCCAGAGGTCCCTTTGGTGAGACACACTGAGCGACCTGAATATCAGGGGGAAAAGGAAGAAGAGCAACAGGAGCTGGTGAGCGGGCTCAGAGGGCAACTGCTCGCCTCACAAGCCTGGCCATCTGACTTTATTTATTGTCCTCTGGCCTCTACTCAAGCCGTGGCACATGCATGTCCCCACCCTACTTCATGAACACATACACACACAATAATCACACATTTTAAAAGGAGCAAACTTAAATATGTAATGCTGGAGAAACAATAAGCAACTAGTTAATAGAATAAAGTTTATCTAACTGAAACTGATTTAATTTTTAAAGACAAAGATGACTTAATTTGATTAAAACAACAGTATTATGTATATTCATTTTAATTTTGATTTTTATTTATATTTATTTGTTGAGAGGTGCATACGGGTATACCATAGTGGAATCTAGAAAAACAACTTTTACCACAAGAATTCAGGGGATGTCTTAGCTTTAAGTGTCAATTTGGCATTGCCTAAAGTCACCTGAGAAGAGAGGCTCAACTGAGGGATTGCCCAGATTAGGCTGCCTGTGGGGCACGTCTGTAGGGGAACCGTCTTAATTACTGGGTGGAAGAGAGTCATCCCATTGTGGGCAGTGGTCTTAGGCTGTATAAGAAACCTAGCGAAGCATCACTAAACAACTCTCAATGATGAACTGTGATCTCAAAGTGTGAGTCAAACAAATCCTTTTCCTCCCTAAATTGCTTTGGCCAGTGTTTTGTTTTGTTTTGTTTGTTTTCGAGACAGGGTTTCTTTGTTTAGCCCTAGCTGTCCTGGAACTCACTTGAACCTGCATCTGCCTCCCTTAAAGGTTTGGTCAGTGTTTTATCAACAACAGAAAGGAAAATAGAACACAAGGCTCAAATTTAAGACTGTTAGTCTGGGCAGCAAGCAACTTTAGCTGCTAAGCCCTTTCATTGGCCCTCTGTGGTCACTGTTATTTTTCCCACTTTATATACACTGTGAGGTTGCTCCTGGGCACAGAGTCAGCCCAGGATATTAGCAAATTTACAATTTATGAGGAAAAAAGCAGGCAATGTGCTTGGGTCCCAGAAAATTCACATGGCCCACATGACACAGGGACATATGGGGACATCTACAAACTTAGGAAACACCCAGCTTCCTTTGAACTTCATCTCTGTGCAGATTAAGTTCCTCTAGGTTTTTAACATTTTATTTTTGTTCCCTGTTTTAAGTTATTCTTTTACACCAAGATGGAAATGGATGTTTGCGGAGAGATGGAGAAATGGAGAGATGGGTCAGTGGTTAAGAGCATTGGCTGCTCTTCCAGAGGACAGGGGTTCCATTCTCAGAACCCACATGGACTTCTCACAACTATCTGTAACGCCAGTCCCAGGGGATCCAATGCTGTCTTCTGGCCTCTGTGGGCACCAGGTAGGCACATGGTACATAGACACACATGCATGCATGCAAAAATTCCATACAAATGAAAAAAAATTATGTTCAAGTGTTCCTAAGATACCAAATACAAAGTGCAAAAATGCCATCATTAAAAACTAAAGAAGGGACTGCAGAGATGGCTCAGGAAAGGCATTTGTTCTTCCAGAGGACCCAGCTTTGGTTTCCAGAACACACATAATGGCTCACAACCATCTCTGAGGGCAACAGGTGCACATGCAGGGAAAATGTTCATACACCCAAATTAAAATAAATCTGAACAAACAAAAAGACAAAACTGAAGGAAGGCCAGTGAGACATCTCTGCCTGTTTGTAAGCTGACAACTTGAGTTAGATCCAGGGGACTCACATGGTGGGAGAACAGAGCCTACTCCCGGAATACACATAATAAATCAATTAAAATGTAAGACAAACAGACAAACAAAAAGCCATAAAGGAATGCTGGCGTGATGGCCTGTGTCTATGATCTTGGGAAGGTTTAGGGTCATCTGCAGCCACACACTGAATTCAAGGCCAGCCTCAGCTACATGAGATCTTGTCTCAAAGGACAAACAAGACAAACAAACAAACAAAAAAAGTAAATAAACCATAAAAGAACGGAAATTTGGACAGTACAGAAAACAGCTAAATGTTTACAAATATTCATTCTTTTTATTTTAGCCTAGGAAGGAAGCCATACCAGATACATGCTGCCATTCTTTATTCTTTCATGTGTGTGGGTGTTTTGCTTGTATGTATGTCTGAGCACCACCTGTGTATTTGGTGCCCATGGAGGTCATCACTGGGCATCAGGTCCCCAAGAACCAGAATTACAGACAGTTGTGAGCCACTGCTCTTAACTAAAAAGTCATCTCTCTAGTCCCACAAGGCATTTTTCTGCAATGACAACAGGATTTTGGTACAGATGAAACTGCTTTTGTTATGTGCCTGCACATTTACGTGCACTTGCTGATTTTTAAATCACCCATAGGAGGCACAAAATCGGATGAGTAAGAATGAGAACAGACCTGCTTTTTGCTTTTTTCCTCTTTACAGTTTAACTTTAGAGGCTTTATTTTTTTAATTACGTCTATTTTCTGTGTTTGTGTGTGCAAGTGTGAGCATGTGTGAGTGTGTGTGAACATATACCAGGACATTTTGTCAGGAGTCAGTTCTGTCTTTTTAGCCAATGGCTACAGTGTGATAAGGTTACAGGATGCCTTTCTTCTAAGTGGAATGGGACTTTGGTGAAATCTTTTATTTTGGAGAGGAGGCCTTTACTACTATGTTTCTCATAATATAAATGACTTTAATTCACCTGCCTCATCATCCAAGAGAATTTTTCTTCTTGGCTCTTTATCATTAAAGTCTGTTAGGGTTTTAGAAATTAAACCCCTGTAAATGTAGTACTCCTTCTAAGACTGCATCCCCTATGAGTTTCTCATCCATACTAGTCCACATTCAGAACCCAGGATTTCATCTCAATTTCGACTTGAAGGGGACTGAATGCAACTCTTTGATACCTGTCCTCTAAAGCTCAGAGTGGCAGTTTGAATGCATCCAAAAATAGTTTTTTTTTTTTTTAACACTTGAGAGTCATAATCTTTTATTTATTTTTATTTATGTGTTTGAGTATTGTGTATGATATATGTCTTGCACTGCTTACATGCCGTGTGTCTTAAGATTCAGACATCATCATTGCCAGGCAATGGTGGCATACACCTTTAATCCCAGCACCAGGAGGCAGAGGCAGGCGGATCTCCGTGAGTTCAAGGCCAGCCTGATCTACAGAGCTAGTTCCAGGACAGCCAAGGATACACAGAGAAACAAACCCTGTCTTGAAAAACCAAAAAACAAAAAAGCAAAACAAACAAACAAACAAAAAAAACATACAGAAAATGTAACTACCATATCACTGTTTTGGTCCTGAACTTATTAGCCGTCTGCCTCTTTCTTTTCATCTTTTAGAGTCAAATGTTTAGGGAATTTAGTAAGTGAAGGTAAAAGTATACCTATTCCATTTTTTTTAAAACTGGATCTACAAGTCACCTAGTCTTCTCTATTCAGATTTAACACATGAGATCAACAGTGACATTATATGGAGATGCCACTCCTATATATTTCTATATATTCCAAAATTCTGGAGATTAAAATGGGGTATTATAGTTTCATCTCCATTGCTATGACTAAAAGCCACTTCCGGGAAGAAAAGATGTATGTGGCTCATGCTTCCAGGTCACAGACTACCACTGAGAGAAGTCACGGCAGGAGCTGAAGCAGAAACCACAGGGGGACACTGCTTGTGGGTCCAATCAAGACAATCCCTTACATGTCCACATGTCTGGTAAAAAGAGCTATTTACTCAATGGAGACTCCATTTTTGAGGTGACTGTAGGTTGTGTCAAGTTGACAGCTAATGCTAACTGGGACGACAGGACAGCAAGACTCTATAGCACATGCCTTCTGTATAGTCTTCTACCCCAAGATAGCCTGAAGGTGGCCCCAAGGCTTTCCAAACTTTCAGCCCAGAAATGCTACCATATCCACTTGGGTCTTGTGTTCTCAAAATCCTAATTAAAACCTAACTACACCAACCATTCTACCTTCCCCAATTTCCTGTAACATTTAAAAAAAATACTTTGTTAGAAATATTTAAAAATACTTAACATTATACTAAGACAGCATAGGCTTTGATGATCATTAGAATCCCATACTGAAGTGTAATGTCCCCCTTTATTTCTGTGTGGATGAGCAGGAGAGGGGTTTATACATGTTCATATATGTGGATGCAGGCATAAACATGGCATGGTAGGCATTTAAATAACCTTCAGATGTTGGTCTCTGCATTTCCATCTTGTGTGAAACAGGCTGCTGCATACACTAGGCTCCCTAACTAACCTGCAAGCTTCTGGGGTCTCCCATTCCTGCCTCCCACCTTCCAAGAGGGCCCTGCTGAGATCACACATACTTGACCACCATGTTAGGCTTTTATGTCAGCATTGGGGATCTAAACACTCAGCTATCTCCTTGGCCCCTAATGCTTCCTTTTTGTTTGTTTGATTTTTCAAGACAGGGTTTCTCACCCCAGGCTGTCCTGGATGTCTTGGAATTTGCTTTATAGACCAGGCTGGCAGAGATCCTCCTGCCTCTGCCTCCTGAGTTTTGAGATTAAAGGTTAGTGCCGCCTCCACCCAGGAGCTTCTTTTTAAAGAATACAGCAAACAATATCATCATGTAGAAAAGAACAATCAGAGGGTAGGTGAGATGAAACCTAAAGACCAGAGTTCAATCCCTGAACAGATGTGAAGACAGAAGTAAAGAACTGGCTCCATGACATTTGTGCTCTGGCCTCTACACATGTCCTGTGATACACTCCCCACTCTGCACATCAAACACACAACAAATAAACATAAACAAATGTTTTGAAATTCATACTCACTACTTATTAAAATATATACAGTGAGTGATGAATCACTTCATCGTAAAACAACTTCAAATTCAGTATTAAGTCCACATAATAACTGAAGAAGATTCCTTTTGGCCAGCAGCCCTTCCTTGTTATTAGATAGTAAAATTAATCAAGCACCGGATAGTCTGGCCACTCACCATGTGTCTGGCAAAGCTCCCCACAGGACCAGTGTTGCGCACCAGGTGCCCCTCAGAAGGGAAGTTAAAGCTGCCAGCACTCAGGTTGTCTCGTGTAGAGTGGTTACCAAAGAGAACAAACGGCTGGCGATGAGGGCTAGAGCAGCAAGTCAGAATGCAATTAGGTAAAGTACTATGACCGGATGGATCTCAGGCTTTTCTAAGTGCTGTGACCACAGGATGGTCAAAATCCAATCTACCTAATGTCCCTGACTGGCTTGTTAGGGATGTCAGATGCTGCTGACTCTTTCTGGTACCTCTGGGGATCAGTCAGGATAGAATTATACCTGTGCTAAGTTTATGCTTTCTCACTTGACCTTTTTGAGGAAGCAGTTTCTGGAGTCTGCTATCGAAAATATAATGACAATTCTTTATAAGGTAAAATTTTAACAGAAATATAGCTTTTAAAGAGTCATAGTGGCTGGACTACTCAAATCCAGTAGACAACAGAACAGCTACCAACTTCTAAGTACCTTTCAGGAGGGCAGGAGGCGGAGGCTGCAATGGTTCCCTATCATGCCACCTCCCCATGCACCTGCCAGTCCTGTTGTCTTGTCTCGACTTTGACTAGACTCCCAATTCCTGCTCACTCCGTAAGTGCTCTAAGCAACCCCTTCAGACAGTTTTTGTCAGAGAGCTTTCCTCAGAGCCACCAAGGAAACTTCACATGTAGCATTTAGAAAATTAAATGACCATGACACATTTCTCCCCCCCCCCAAAAACTTACCAAGCTAAGTTACACTTTAAACAGAAGCTGTTTTGTCTGAAACCCAGGAAGGTGGTTTGTCTATTAGCCTGGACTGGGCTTGGGGAAAACTGTGATGTGTCTCCTCTACCCACTCCTCTACCACTGCTTACTGTGACAAAGATGCAAAAGGCAATGCTCAGAAACCTGTACCACCCCCATCTTCTGCAAGGTGCTCGGTTCTTAGCTTAATTCACCTTACCCCCTCAAAATACTGCTGTCCTTGTCTGCAGTTGCATATTGTTTCATTTTGCTTTCCTGTGCTAGGAATAGAGTAAAAATTCCTTTCTTTTAGATTGAAGTACTTTATCTATAATATTTTAAGAGCCATTTTACTAAAAGATCATAGAAAAATGAAGCAAATACAAAAGAACAAAGCACCAAGAAAAATGAATCACAACTTTGGAGTTCTTATGCTGTAACTACAGTCAACTCACACTCTGAACTTGGACACCCCATATTCAACACTCCCGTTTTCAACTCCATTTTCGCTATTACCATCTGCACCTCCTTCCCAGGAACATACCTGTTCTCAGTAATATGGCTGGAGATCATTCCATGACTGAAGTAGCTTCTGAATGGCTAAAAAAGAAGCCAACATCTGATGTAAGACAATAGCTTGACAATAATAAAACTTTTCACATATGTGTATATTACATATACATATCAGGAGAATGAGCAGTATGGAACAGAAAGACTGAGATGTATACGGAGGATAAGAACACTGAAAGATAATGTGGTAGATAAATCATGAATTTGGGATATAGCAACGAAACAAAACACTGAAAAAAAAAAAAAAAAAAAAAAAACAGAAAAAGTTGCCAGGCCGTGGTGGCATACACCTTTAATCCTAGCACTTGGGAGGCAGAGGCAGGCGGATTTCTTCTCTTTCTGAGTTTCAGGACAGCCAAAGATACACAGAGAAACCCTGTCTTGGAAAAGGGGGGGTAGGAAGGAAGACAGGGAGAGAGGGAGAAGGGGGAGAGAGAGAGAGAGAGAGAGAGAGAGTGTGTGTGTGTGTGTGTGTGTGTGTGTGTGAGTGTGTAAAGTAATCCAGACTCCAGATTAACTCCCAATGGTCAGGAAGGGGGCTTGTTCTGGGCTACCATGGTTCACTGAAGAATGGAATAGTGACAATTTAAGTCCAATTTAGGCTCAAAAGCAAGCTCAAGACAACTCTTGTGATTTGCTTCTGTTGAATAGTGTTTGTGACTGTTCTGTTCCCTGGATTTCAATCAGACAGTTCACTTTAGTCATGAGGTGTGCCTTAGCCTGAACCAATGCAGCCCTGGAAACGCATGCAGGCTTGGAAAGGGAAGCGCTGCACTCATGACCACAGCTCGGCTGGTATTCAGAGGTACAGAATTATTAACTAGCAATACCTACTGGTTGGAGACACCACCGTGCTGAAGGGTGAATATCCTTCTTATAGAGATGCTGTCACAAGAAAAAAGTATTTCTGGGGCATAGGGGATTGAAACCATGGCCTTGAATATACTGTGCCTACCTCTGAACTACACTTCCAGTTACAAAGCATTATTTTTATAGGCAAGGGAGGGGATTTCTTTTATGACATGTAATCTATAGAAATGATAAGCAGCCAGCTGGCAGTAGTGGTGCCCGCCTTTAGTCCCAGCACTTGGAAGGCAGAGGCAGGTGAATTTCTTTGTGAGTTTGAGGCCAGCCTGGTCTACAGAGTGAGTTCCAGGACAGGCTCCAAAGCTGCAGAGAAACCCTGTTTTGAGAAACCATAAAAAGAAAAATAAATGATAACCAAAACAAACCTCTTCAGTGGTATTATCTTGAAAAAAAATTTAATAAGCCAGGCATTGAGGTACTTGCCTTTTACCCTAGCACGTGGGAAGGCAGAGGCAGGGAATATTTGTAAGTTCCAGGCTAGTCAGGGCCACATAGTGAGACCTGTCTCAATGATAAATTAACAACAACAACAAATTAACCACTTTCCTTTCTCTTTATGGCTTTCACTCACATACCTCACCCGCCTGAGATTCTGAAAGTTCCAGCAGGAAAGGGATTTCTGTGTCAAAATTAGCAAAGAAGCTTGTCCACTGATGCTCAAATGATACCAAGTCCTATTTAAAAGAATAAAAACAAACAAAAAACACGGGGTCACATGAGAGGCACATTAGAGAATAGGAATCATGAACTTATCTTAAACACCAGGCTGCTCTATATGTGGATTATTTGTTTGTTTGCTTATTTGAGACAGGGTTTCTCTGTGTAACCACTCCACCTGTCCTGAAACTCGCTTTGCAGACCAGGCTGGCCTCAAATGCCCTGAGATCCTCTTGCCTCTGCTTGCTTCCCAAATGCTAGGATCAAAGGTGGGTGACATCACTACCTGGCCTATATGTGGATTATTTATTATTATTGAGAATATCCAGAAAAGAAACATCTATGCAGACAAAGTAGGTCTGCAGTATTACTTGGGGAGTGGGACTGCACATGGACCCAGGTAACTTTCTGGGTAGGTAAAAACATTATCTTTTATTATTGTTGTTCTTTTTTTTTTTTTTTTAAGATTTATTTATTTATTTATTATGTATACAGTGTTCTGTCTGCATGTCTCATTTCAGGCCAGAAGAGGGCACCAAATCTCATTAAAGGTTCTTGTGAGCCACCATGTGGTTGCTGGGAATTGAACTCAGGACCTCTGGAAGAGCAGTCAATGCTCTTAACTGCTGAGCCATCTCTCCAGACCCCTGCTGCTCTATTTTTAAAGACAGTGCTTTTATTATGCAGCACTGGCTGGCCTGGAATTCTATATATAGATCAAACTGGCCTGTCTCTTCCTCCCAAGTGCTAGGATTATAGATGCCCAGCCTTCACTAGAATTCTTTGCTTATTGCTATCTATCTTTCTATCCATCCACCTCAGCTGCCTACACATATGCCTGTACACACGTATGAGATGCACCCACATATTTATAAAACTCTCAATAATCACAATGGGGGAGTTAGAGACAGGGTTGAGATAGTATCGTACTACGTAGCCCAGACTGACCTCAATTATCCTCCTGTCTCAGCCTCCTGTGTCCTGGGATTATAGACCTATACCATCATTCCTCACTAGATATTTTGATTAATAACAGACTAAACATATGACAGCATATACCATATAGAAGGACATCTCGCTTATATTTATATAATCATACTCTATAATGCTTACACAATGACAAAATTGACTAAAAACACATTCCTCCGTATCCATATCCTTATTCTCCATATCTGCTACTACCAGGCCTTTTTTATATTTCTTAAAATTTATTTATTTTTATTTTACGTGTACGACGAGTGTTTTGCTTGCATGCCTGGAGTTCACTGAGGTCAGAAGGGCTCCTCAGCTCTCCTGGAACTGGAGTTACAGGTGGCTCTGAGCCAACTCCAAGTGGGTGCTGGGAACCTAGGCCCTCTGTAACACAGTAGGCCTTAACTACTGAGCCATCTGTCCAGCCCCCAAATCCTATGTATTGCATATATTCACACACACAATGAAGGAAGCTCTGCCTACCTTTTAAAGATGTCTAGAATTAGGACCAAAATAGTCACAATGAACATCCCTAACACTCAACACAGACATGGAACATCTTATAGTAACTGGCTATAGGGTTAAAAGGATGTGTGAACCACTACCCAAAGACAAAGCAATATGAATGCCACCAAAAATCACAGTCCTAGTTAATTTCACTTACAAGTTTCCAAACTGTTGCTATGTTTTTAAGTAGCTGAGGCTAGGCCTGGAACTCTCAGAGCTCTACCAGGCTGTGCTTCCAGAGGGCTGGGATTAAAGGCACGTGCTCCCACACCCAGATGAACAATTAATGACTGAAGGCTTGGCAAATTATAGTCTAGGGTGGGACACATTTTTGTAAACAAGATAGCTATAAAACACAGACACAGCCAGTTTAAACACTGCCTGGAATAGCTTTTGTGCTACAATGATATTGCTGAGCAGTTGTAAGGACCTAGGCAAGATATTAAATTATTACTCTCTAGTCAAAAGGACAAGTTTGTCACCTCTGTTCCAAATCTTAGTCTCTCTAGGCAATTTGTCACCTTAATTTTTCATACTACAAAAGACAGCTTCTCCATTGTTGTATTAAAGCCCAGTACAACCACCCCTTCCCCTGAAAAAAGAAACAACAAATCATAAAAAATCTTTAGGTGAAACTAGTTGCATCCCCAGGCAGGAAGCCTAGGCTTTCCTCAGGGTGGAAGAGGAAGCCTCATTCCCCCAGATTTTCTACTTTATATAATCATACTCATTGAGTCCAACACAATCTAGGAAGGGGCACTCTGCTTTCTGATGAAAGCAACTAAGATGTTCCTTGCATTTCTTTAAATTAAATACCTTGGGTGGATAATTGACATGGCTAGGATAATTTAATGTAATTATGTTAAATGCGCTTTGGCTCCTTACTTCTGAAAGCATATTCTCCAGAGACATGGGATCCATCCTGCTGTAGACATTCCATAGACTCAAACTCACATCCTGTAACTGCAACAAAGCAAAGGGCAAAACAATGAATTAAGTCAAATCTCTGGGACAGCCAATTGCTTCTGATCTTCAAAAATTACTGTCTTGGTATAAATGGTGTTACTAGAATAATAAACCAAAATTATATTAATTATATTATTGATGATACTGTGCTATTTATAAATTATTAATTTTGTTAACTGTATTTATTACTATTAAACTAAAGCATTATTAACTCCATTAGAACAAACCAAAATTTTATTAATCATTAGATCCTATACAAATTAATAAATGTTTTCTAATTCAAAAATATTTTCAGAATCTTCAGTATGTCATCTGATTATATTCAATGATGGCACATATACATTTATACATACAGGCACATAGTTTTTTCTTTGTAATTTTAATTAAAATAATACATGCTTATGATTTTTTTAAAAATCAAATAGTATGAAATATTTAGAATAAGATTTGACTCCTCCACTTTAACCTTCTGGAAGCCCATTAGTCTCACTCAAAAACAACTAGAGCTTTTTTCTTTGTTATTTACGTCTATATTTTAACATCCTTTCATTTATGCAAAGATGCAGGTCTTCTCTGTCATCCCACCCCATACTTTCTCTATGCACACATACTCTAATCACCTTTTCAGTTACATCATTAGTTGTTAACAGCATCATACCAATACAATCACACATATTACCACACAAATAGCAGGTAAAGCTCACTTCTATCCTCCTCAGGTGCACTTACTGCTCCTTTTTTTTTTTTTCACTAGCATACTCTTTGCTTGTTTGCCTTTTGCTTTAATTTTTTTTGAGACAGGGTCTCAGACCATGAGCTCTGGCTTGCTTTGTATCCTGTCTGGCCTTGACCGCATAGCTCCTGTCTCCACCATGTGAGAGCTGGGATTAGCAACTCAATCTTAAACTTTTAATAGGCCCACCCAGTCTGCTTACTCCAGGGTTTCCCAGCAGAGCCACTACTGTTATCTCCTTGCCTGGGCGAGGCTCCTGGCAGTACAATGCATGGCGCATCCCTAGCCTCTATGCAGCACATTCCTTTTGTGCTTCTCCTTCTCTCAAAGCCAAATGTTTGGGGGCAGGAGAAGACAACATCACCTCCGAGATTCACTCTGAGATCCAAGTAACCCAGAGTTTTCTCAGCCTACTGAACTTTACTACATGAAAGGAAGAGAATCTTCATGAGCATGCTGATCTTAGAAGCTCTACTTTTTGGGACTAGGATGAGCTTTGCCTTGCCTTCCCCCCACCCAAGAAAAAGTCTCTTGATGTCTCCTGGGCTATGGAGAACTTGCTGGTATAATTTGAATATGAAATATGTTGAACACAGGTTGGTAGGTGATGGTGCTATTTTAGAAGGTGGTGGGAACTTCAGGAGGTAAGGTCTACCAGTCCCTTCCTCATCTCTGCTTCTGTGTGCCGTGAGACCTGCCACACGATCCCACTGCCATGATGATCTCCTTCACCATGGCAAGGATTCTGAACTAAAATTTATGGAAACCCAGGCCCAATTAATCTTGTTCTTTTGATTGTTTCTATCAATCTGGAACTTAGTCATGGTGATGAAAAGTCCAACTACCACACCTATAATGTATCCTGTCTCAGACTCTAACTCTTGGGATTACAGCCATATACCACCATGTACAATCTGCTAAATCTTTTTCTTGTGTGTTTGTTTTTGAAATGGGATCTCATGTAGTCCATACTGCCTTGGAACTCTATGAAGCCAAGGATGGATGACCCAGAATCTCTGATCCTCCAGCTTGCTCCATCTCTCTATTGCAACCAAGCACATCCAGTTGTACAGTAGGCAAGCACTCTACTAACTGAGTTATACCCTCAGCCTTGTCTCTCTTTCTTATTATCCACCTTTCAATTGAAGAGCTTATGTTTGTTCATGTATAAGCAAACAAATGTTCATTGTTCTCTCATTTTTATTTAGTATTTGCTGAGCATATCCTTTTTTGTTGGAGGATCTTTTTTGAGACAGGGTTTCTCTGTGTAACAGCAGCACTGGCTGTCCTGGAACTCACTCTGTAGACCAGGCTGACCTCAAACTCACAGAGATTCGCCTGCCTCTGCCTCCCGAGTGCTGGGGTTAAAGGTGTGAGTCACCACTGCTCAGCTATAATATCCTTTCTTTAGGAAGTTAGTAAATTTAACACTGCCAGGTCACAGTTTCAGCACCTTAACAGTAAGAAGGAAGCTAGAGCCAAGGAAGTCCATTCAGAAGAATTTCTTTCTTTTTCTTCAAGGAAGGAAAAGTTCTCTAAAACCATGACTCAGTTTAATTCAGCCTACAAGCCAAGCCTGGCTTCCTTTCTCATATCAAGGAGCTCTCCTATCAGATGACTTTCTTTTGGGCATGGCCACACACTAAATTAATCCAAGCAGGCACAGAACTAGTGATCGTCCTGTCTTGGCTTCCTGATGGCTGGATTACAGACATGCACCATGTTTGGCTAAGACAGGGACATTAAGATTTATAGTTTTATTTGATATTCGATATTTCCTCCACGTGGCCCACCCCACCCCTGCAGGCATGATCCCACAATAAAGATTTACATTTACCCTTCAAAGGTTTTAGAGGGAGGGTATGTCTTCCCTTGTGAATATGACTTCACTCTATAACACATCTAAGAAAGAGCCGAAGCCCTGTCTCATTGGACTGTATCAATGGTGTGGCACTTCTTAATGTCACTCTAGGTACACACACACAGGTTAGGAGCACAGGCTCTAAAGACAGATCACTTGGGTCAGGCCCCAGCCCTGTCTGTCACTCACTCACTAGCTCTGTGTCTTTGGGAAAATTTGTTTAAGCCCTCTGCTAGAGAAACACAAAACAGTACCTACCCCCCGATACAAATCACAGAGAAACCCTGTCTTGAACACCCCCTCAAAAAAAAAAAAAAAAAAAAAAAAGATGAAACCAACATAACTATTATTGTAAAATGGTTCCCTTCCTGTCTACTGTGGCCAGATTCCATCCAAGTTCCCTTTGAATGTGTGGTCATTTCAAGTAACACTGTAACTACAGTAAGTAATCTTAGCCTGACAGAAAAGTAAAAAGTCTGCTTCAGAGAGTGTGGTGTCCCCAAGCACTTCCTCGGGATGTTAGTCCTCTGACTTGCTTCTAAAGGCACCATTCAACAAGAAGCCCCCATTCCTAGCATGGCTTTCTAGTGGGTCAGGTCATATCAGTTGGGTCCCCTGGGGCCACATACATGCCACCCTCCTTAACCTATACTGTGAATGAGCATTTTTCAGACTCACTCTCACTCATTAATCTATCTCAACAGATATTTACTGGTCATCCTCAAAGGCAGGAATGGTGACATACCCTTAATCCCGGCACGTGGGAGGCAGAGGCAGGCAGAGAGATCTCTTATGAGTTCCAGGCCAGCCAAGACCACACACTGAGATCTTGTTTTAAAACGAATATTCACTTTGTGACAAAAAACAAACATACTAGTTTCCATACATACCTCGTATTTCATGGTAAAAAATCCGTCTCCTCCAATGCCTTCAAGTGCAAAGGCCTGTACAATTGGCCACTTCTCTACCACAAACATATCAAATATCTGTAAGTGACCTAAAGGAATCACATACACCAACACATGTCAAATACAATCCTCGATGCAACAGTTTGAACCCAAGCTCATGTGGTTAGGCAGGCATTGTTTCTTACAAGTTTACCAGGACTTTCTTTAGCAAAGCAAGTATGAACATATAAGAGGATTAGATATTGAAACTAGAAATATAATGCAAAATTCAAGAAAAATTAAAATCACAAGCAAGGAACATAAATTCAGACTTCTTTATAACACATGTTCACATTTTGGTTTTCTTAAAAAAAAAAAAAAAAAGTAAGCTGGGCAGCAGTGTTGAACACCTTTAATCCCAGTACTCAAGGAGGTAGAGGCAGATGGATCTCTGTGAGATCTAAAGCCAGCCTGGTCTACAGATCAAGTCCCAGAACAGCCAGGACTACAAAGAGAAACCCTATCTAGAAAAAACAAAAAAAAACAAAACAAAAAAAACCCCAAAACCAAAAAGCAAACAAACAAAAAACCCCAACAACAACAACAAAAAAAAGTAAATAGTACCCTATTGCAACTGATTTGTGCCATTTAATGAGTATGTTCATTAACAGACCAAAGTGCTCTCTGAAGAAACAGCCAATCAGATTCCTCAAGGGAAAACACTAAAATAAAAACGTTTCTTTCTGGTCAGGTGTAGTGGAATTTGCATTTAATCACAGCACCTGGGACACAGAGGCAGGTGGACCTCTGGCATTTGAAGTCATCCTGGTCTACATAGCTAGTCCTAGGCACGGAGTGGCTACAGTGAAACCCTGCATCAAAACACAACAAATCAAAAGCGGGTGTCCTTTTTGTAACAATAGTTTCAATGTTCAGTGTTTTTTTTTTTTCTTCCTAAAATATTAGCACTAATAAACTTGTTGATAGCTTCCCACCCCCACCCCATTCCTTGTCCTGTAAATATTTTTGTTTGTTTGAGATAGGGTTTCTAGGTAGCCTTGGCTGGCCTAGAACCCACTATGTAGACCATATTGGCCTTACACTTCTAGAAAGCCACCTACTTCTACCTCCCAAGTGCTAGGATTAAATGTGTGTGCTACCACACCTGGCAAAAAGATGTATTCTATTTTAATTATGTGTATGAATGTGTGTGGGTACCCATGCAGTCAGACATCCCCTGCAACTGGAGTTACCTAGCATGCCTAGTATAGCTGCTGAGAACCAAACTCAGGCCCCTGAAAGACCTGGACATGCCCTTAGCCATCTTTCTAGCCTCATAAGCATACCTTTTAAAAATAACTAGTCAAATTACAGTTTCCTACTATGAAGATGCATCATATCTATACGCTAAGTAATAAATGATACAGATTAGATGTTATCAGTTCTCCTTGACCACAGGAAGCTTGGTATGCTACTGTGATGTCTTCATAGTTATGAAGCTTGTATAGGAGTCCCTAAGTTTCATTCGGTTAATCCTTTGCCTTAATGAAAATGCATCAAGTGGTTTTTCCAGCCAAATATCTACCATGAAAGAGGCAGAAGCGTTCAACCGGCATACCATCCAAACAAGTTTCTTAAACGGCCGTGCCAGATACTCACCTTGGGAACTGTAAGGAATACCGATTCTACTGCAGTCTCGAACCATGTCCACAAAGCTGGAGATCTTAAATTCTTCTGCTGCCTCCTCATCTTCATACTAAAAAGGGAAATCAAAAGGAAGATGAGCTTTGATGAGATACGTCAAAGCGCATTTTCAGAGGCTGACTTAAACAGCAACTAGGGAATGCGTTTCTAAAGCCAATCTCTCCTATTTGTTGGTCAAAAGTAGTCTCCATTTCTTCATCTCATAAACAAAAAACAACTCCAAATGGACTGACTGAGACTTACATGGAAGAGATAAAACTTGTTCCTCCAAGTGTCCCCAACAATCACACGGAAAGAAAAGTTCTTAGTCATGCTGGATGGAAACTGAAGTGACATTACAGGCAGAAAAATCCCAATGTTCTTTCTAGTTATATTCTTTAAAAGAACCCAACGGGAACAGAAATAGACACCAAGAAACCTAGACATAAATGTCATAAAGTTTAAAAAAATTCTAAGCTTTACAGGCATGTCCAGTCTTTTGACACTGTAACCCAACGTTGTCACTTACAAAGTTTAGACTCACTCAAAAATCGCATAATCCCTGGGTGCATGCCTTCAATCCCAGCACTGGGAGGCAGAGGTATGTGGATCTCTGTGAGTTCGAGGCCAGCCTGGTCTACAAGAGCTAGTTCCAGGACAGCCTCCAAAGCCACAGAGAAACCCTGTCTCAAAAAACCAAAGGCAAAAAAATTGCATAATCAAGTTACATTAAAAATTAATAATCTGCTGGGCTTGTGGAACATGCCTTTAACTCCAGCACTTAGAAGGCAAATGTCAGGGGGCTAGAGATATGACTCAGAGGTTAGGAGCACTGGCTGATCTTCCAGAGTCCTGAGTCCAATTCCCAGCAACCACATGGTGGCTCACAACAACTTGTAATGAGATCCGATGCCCTCTTCTGACCTGTAGGGACACATGCAGACAGAACACTGTACATATATACTAAATAAGTACAAATTTTAAAAAGGCAGAGGCCAGCAGACCTCTGCATTCCAGGCCAGCCAAGGCTTCACAGTGAGACCCTGTCTCAACAAAATAAACAAATAAAAAGTAAGATCCCATAAGTAAATAAGCCAACATTAGCAGCTTTTCTTGTCTGCTGCAGCTCTTGGTCTGGAAGTTGGACAAGCCCTCAGGGGCAGTCCGTGAGCATGAGCACTGGGACAGCCTCCAGACGGTGGGGAGAGGCAGGTCAGGACGGTGGGCTCAGAAGCCCAGGGGGAAAGCCCCTCAGTCTCCACTAGGCAAACAACTACAAGTCTAATGGCGTACAGCTTTCTACTTGAATATTCATTTCTATGTGACCATACTCTGACACTGGATCTGGAATGTCTCTTAAGGGCTTCGGGTCCAAATCAACACTTTCCTGAGTGAAGTACTTAGCCCATTCTTCCTCCTCACCTCATTTTCTGTCATGCAGTGGAAATGTAAGTTTCTCCAATGTGCTACATAAGGCAAAAGGTATCGGTAGTTGACAGGATTACAGTACAGATGGACACTATCTGATTTAATCAATATAATCACATCTGTAAGAAAAAAAAGCAAAACACAAAACTGAAAAAGGCAGATTCTGCACAGAAAATAGTACCTCCGTTCATGCACAGGATTGTAGTTCGGTAATTCAGGGTTGCATGGCCAGGCCCTGGGTTCATTTCTAGTACAACAAACAAAGAAAACCCCAAAACCAAAACACATAGCTATTTCACAAACAATATAACAAAAGTCTAACTGTGTAATTATTTAACCAAGCAACAGGCAGGTATGGACAGTAAGGGTTTTTTAGTGCTGCTGCAATGCTCTTCCTATGATGGCCTCCTAGATGTGATAGTGTAAGCCCAAAATAAGTCAAAAGAGCAGGCTGCATTTCCTGAAACAGTGTACTGCAAGGTTCGGGGAAATCTGAGCTGTGGTACTGATTTAGCTGTGGTACGTTATTTAATCACTGACTGACTGATGACAGGGTGGTTGCATTACTGAAGGTTGAGCCTAGAGCTATACATGTTAGGCAAGTATTCTATCACACTAAGTTGCCTCAGCTGGTCTTGAACTCTATACATAGCCCAGGGAGGCCTTGACCAATACTCTTGCCTCAACCTCCCAAGCAGCTGTGATTTCAGGACTATGCCACCAAGGCCTGGCTTCTTTTCAGACTAACCTGGAATTCACTGTGTAGACCAGGCAGGCCTTGAATTTACAGCACTCCTTCTGCCTCTGCTTCCTAAGCGTTGGGATTACAGATATATATCACCACACCTAGCTTCACAACGGATATAACATGGCCACCCAGTCAAGAAATGGCACCAACGGCAGGGACTCCACACTAAAACCAGTGCAAAAATTCCTGGCCAGAGGCTCATTTGACTCCAGGCAATTGTGAGCCTGCACACTGTCAATGTTAGGAAAGGTTACTGTGTATAGCAAGTGAACTCTGGACACAGGAAAGGCTTGAAGGAAGGAAATACAGGCAAGTTAAAGAGCTTCTGGAAACATACCAACAGACTGCAGAGTTAGAACAGCCATCAACATTGGTAGATCAAGTAAATAAAGAAATCCCAAGGGTACAAAGGATCCCAGGCCAATTCAAGAAGTACTAGAATAGCCTGGGCATGGAAAAGGAAAACAGCCATAATTCCAAAAGAAAAGCAGGGTTCATTCAATGACCCCTCTGACGACAGTACCGCTTGACCTCTTTCTAACAAGAGTAAGCTGGGAATTGCCGAGTGAGAAAGGTGCTGAGAAGAACAACCCTCAGTCCCACAGGCCACAGAGCCCATCCTAAAACAACTGTACACGACCTGCTAAGAGAAATTCCATGACACCGAAAAAGTGGGGGCATCCATATACACCACACACACTCTACACCAATTCACTACACACCACACACACTAAAGTGTAACCTTTAAGATTTAGGATCAAAACACAAATGTTATACTAACAATTGCTAAACTGAATTACAAATTCCATATGCTCAACAGCCTGATATTTAACAGAGTAAACAGTCAGATAAAAGAAGAAAAAGTGGTCAGGTGTGGTAGCTTTAATTGTTTAATTCCAGCACTCAGGAGACATAGGTAGGAGGGTCTCCTTGAGTTCAAGGCCAGCATGATCTACATACATAGTGAGTTCCAGGGCAGCCAGACCCTATCTCAAAAGAAGGAAGAGGAGGAGGAGAAGGAAGAGGAGGAATGAAGCTGGGAAACTGGGCATTCTGGCACATGCTCATGATCCCAGTGCAAATTCAAGGATGCCACCCTGATTTAAACAGAGATGGCATTAAAAAAAAAAAAAACAACAACAACAACAAAAAACCAAAAACAAAAGGCAGCAGCAGGTGAATGAGAAGCAGCAGAGAACAAGGACGAGGAGGAAAGGACACAGAGTGGCAGGGTTGGCCAGATGTGCTGGCACAAGCTTTTACAAGGACAGCACATCTATATAGCTTGTTCCAGGAAGGTCAGAGCTAGCTACATAAAGAGAACTGTCTAAATAATAACAACAACATAGTGGTAGTAGTAGAATTAATGCAAATTCTTTTAAAAATATCTTTGAAAAGGAAGTATCTCATATTGGCCTTTTTCTATTCATAGTGAAGTTAAAGACAGAAGCGTGCTAGGTGTGGTGGCCCACACCTTTAATCCTAACACTGGAAACAAAGGCAGGAAGATCTCTGTGAGTTTGATGTCAGTGTGGTCTACATAACAAGTTCAGGGACAGACAGGACTACATTGTGAAACTCTGCCTTAAAATTAAAAAGGAAAAAAATAGAAGCACAAATCTTCTGCTTTTAGCTTTCTAACCATGTGGATTAAAAATGACTTCATTAATTTGGAGGGAAATGCTTATTTGCTAAGTATCCACTGTGCCAAATGACAGGATAAAAACAGAAAAAAGAAAGAAAGAAAGTACATATTGGATCTCTGTGAGTTCCAGGACAGCCAAGGCTACACAGAAAAAGCCTGTCTCAAAGTGACACCCCCCACATCTTTGGGAATTAAGCGTTTTCCTTAATTTTAGTACTGAAATATCCCTTGCAACTATGGTCCCAGTGAAATATGTAGTAAGTACAAGCTTCCAAAATGATTTCCAGAACACAGCAGGTAAGGAAGGGTACTTTATTTTACACCTGAGACTTCTCTTTATATGGGTGTTTTGCCTGCACGTGTGTCTGTGTATCACTTCTGTGCCTGGTGCCCAGAGAGGCCAGAAGAAGGCCTCTGAGCCCCGGACTGGAGTTGTAGACAGCTGTGAGTCATGGTACAGGGAATTGGATCCTGGTCGTCTGGAAGAACAGCCAAGTGCTCTTAACCAGCCCTCTAAAAGAAATTTTATTTTGTTTTATTCACGGCAGGGTCTCTCTACCTAGCACTACCTGTGTTGGAACTCATATGTAGACCAGGCCAGCTTTAAACTCACTAAGATCCACCTGCCTCTGCTTCCCAAATGCTAGGGTGAAAGGCTTGAGACAACTCACCTAGTCAAGAAATTGTAAATCAAAATCTGAAACAAACAAATGAATTAAAAAACAATTGATGGTGTCTCCTAGTAATGTCAGAAGCTACATCCATAAAAGTCTTACCAATATGACCACCCACACATGAGCAGAACAGAGGTATTACCAATGGACATGTCAAGGTAGACAGGCAAAAGCCCTTGAAACCTCAACTCTACACAAAGAACTATGGGAAATTGAGGAAAGCTGGGAACAGGAGAGGTGAGGTAGCCTTCCTCAGGGAAGAGCACACTAACTGCAAACGGTCAGCCCTAAAGTATTATATGGACTGAGGAGATTATAAATAGGTATACATATGTATACATATATGCATTCAATAATAATTTAAAAAGAAGTCATGAATCTGAAGGAAGGGGAAGACATGAGGGATTAGAGCAGTGGTTCTCAACCTTCCTAATGCTAAGATGCTTTAATACAGTTCCTCATGTTATGGTGAACCCCAACCATTAAATTATTTTTGTTGACACTTCATAACTATAATTCTGCTGCTGTTATGAATTGTAATATAAATATTTTTTTGGAGAGAACCACTGGTTTAGAGAGAAGAAAGGAAAGGGAAGATGTTATAATTTTACTTTAATATCCAAAATTAAAAAAGAGTCAGGCGGTGGTGACACATGCCTTTAATCCCAGCACTTGGGAGGCAGAGGCAGGTGGATCTCTGGGAGTTCAAAGCTAGCCTGGTCTACAGAGCAAGCAAGTTCCAGGACAGGCTTCAAAGCTACATAAAATCCCTGTCATGAAAAACCAAAAAAAAAAAAAAAAAAAAAAAAAAAAAATGTTGAAGTTGACAGTGGTGTTTCAGGCATGTAAACCTAGCACCCAGGAGGCTGAGAAGTGCTGTGGATCTGAAGCCAGCCTGAGTACAGAGTGAGAGCCTAACTCAGACAGAAGAAAAGAGGGAGGAGGAAGGGAGGAAGGAAGGGAGGGAGGGAGAGATAGTAACCAAAACAGTAATTTCAGTCTTCTTTTTCTGCATTTGTAATAAAAAGGATAGTTCTAACTAAACTATGTGGATAAACCATATTGGGGACTTTACCACGGTAGAGTTTTTCAAAGACTCTACAACTCAGAACTATAAACAGTTTTAATTCGGATAATTCGTCATTGTGTAAATCAGGGCTTTCTTGTGCATTTTGAGATGTTTAGCAGCATCCCTGGCGTCCACTAGATGCCAGTAGTACCATGGACCGAACCATGGTTATCAGAAATGTCTTCAGACATTGCTAAATGTCCCTCAAGGGACAAAACTGGCCCCCATCTGAGAACCACTATACTCAAGTGAGATCATCTGACATCAAATGTTTGCTTTCATGTCCTCCCCAGCTGCCTTGCAAAAGTGTCTTGTCTCTTGTACAGTTTCACTTGTTTGTTGTATGTCTCCTGACTCATCTTGTAGACAATTTATAATGCTAAGTATATGATATCAGAGATAGCTCCTGGGCAACAGCCCACAGCAGCATCAACACATGCAGTGTCTCCAAGCCAGAGAAGGCAGACTGCAGACAGAAAGACTGCATTGTGTTAAAGTCACACAAAAAACAATTCCCAAAGACAGCAGGACAATAGGCCCTTGTTCCTCAGCTCACGATCCACATAAAATCATCTTCCTCACAAGAGCAGCTTACAAGAACAACTCATCCCGAGCTCAAAGTGCTTTCACTGGACAACAGTGTATAATCTCAACCTTCGGTGAAAAACAGCAGTAGGCAATACTAACAAAAACTAGCACACTGCCAGGAGATAATGCCAAATACTGATGTCTGCTTTTGGTCTCAAAGATGATTTACCTAGTAAATGTATTCTAGAAACTGCTTGTTGATAGTCTGTTATGCAGGGTGTGACCAATAGACTATATTACTTAATAAGTCAATAAGGAAATGTGATTTTTTTCACTATTAAAAAGACAAAAATCTTACCAGTTGTTAATCCTGAGGCCAAAGGGTTGCCAATTTCAATACTAATTAGGACATCACACATCATTCAAACAGCAAAACAAAATAAGGCAAGGATTTACTAAAGCGTTGGACTATTTAAAATTCAACCACATTTTTCCATTAAAAGATCATGAAAGGGGTACTGGGTGTATGTCTTGAATCCCAGCACTTAAGAAGATAGAGACAGGTAGATCTCAGAGTTCAAGTCCAGCATGGTCTACACAGTGAGTTTCAAGCCATTTAAAGCTATACGAGACTCTGTTTTCAAATAAACAACAAAAACCAAAACCACAAAACCAGAAAAAAGAAAGAAAAAACCTCAAAGAATCAAAACATCATTAACTGGGGCTGGAGAGACGGCTTAGTAGTTAAAAATACTTGCTACTCTTCCAGAGGACCTGGGTTTTATTCCCAACACCTGAATGGTGGTTCACAACCAGCTGGAGCTCCAGTTCCAGGACATCCAATGTCCTCCAAGGACACCAAGCACACAAACAGTGCACATACATACATACAAGCAAAACACTCATACAACAAATTAAAATTAAAACTTTTTTTTTTTAAAAAAAAAGATCATGAATTAAGGATCCAAAGAAACAAACCATTCTCTTCCAATATAGACTTACCATCTAGAATTTCTTCAGAAAATCCCGTTTTCTCAAAATCAGTGGTATTCTGATTGTATAAACCAAACAGAAGGTAATTTGCCAGCTCTCTGCAACCTTCGTTGTACCTGCTGTCAATCCCTGTAAGGAAAAGAAGGCTGTGACGTCACTGTCTTGTGCCAGGGAAAATGATAATTGCCAATAATTTGCCCATTTAGTAAAGCCCTGATGCCCAGAGGCAGTTCAAACCAGTTTTGAGCTAAAACTAAATAAACAACCATAGGCTGAAGCATACGGCACCTTCCTTGCATCTCAAGATCTGCATAGATGGGAAAACGAAGCAACAAAGATTACGAAGGCTATTGATTTCTGAAAAGCATTTTTTTCTTTCAGTTTTTAGTTTACATGTACATGGGTACTTGGCCCACATGTATGTGTGTGTACCATGTATGCCTGGTACCCAATGAGGACAGAAGAGTACCCTCTGGGATCTGTAAGATACCACAGAATTGGATACAGAGATGGTGGTGAGTCACCATGTGGGTGCTGGGAGCTGAACCTAGGTCCTCTGGAAGAACAGGAAATGCTCTTAACTACTGAGCCACCTCCAGCCTCATAAAAAGCAATTATTAAGGGTGGGAAGAACCAGAAAATATGGTCTTCTACTGATTTACTAGATCTTAGAATACTTTCAGTTAGCCCAAGAACAGATCTCAGAGAGATCTTTATAAAAAATGTGTGATCAAACAAAAGCAAGTTAAGCTTGAAAGAGATGAGGACAAGAGGGCAGCATAATAAATCCTAGCCCTTCACAAATGTCAGAAGCAATGCTTAGCAGTGCACTGTACAGTGTGGTGTGGTGGTGGGGGTATGTGTTCCTGAAGATGCCCCTCATATAATTAGTCTAGAAAGGTTTGACCACAAACCAGGGGAAATTAAATGGCAGTCTTTACTACTGCCTCTCAATGTCCAAGGTATCCCAGGGCTACACATGGGTAGGATGGCAGGGGTTGGGGCACGTAGCTGCTGTCTGTATGATTTTAAAAAGAATGGATTGCAGCAGGAGCTCCAAGAATGGTAAGAGCTACGTATCTCACGTCGTCTCTCTCAATATTCGCCCACGATAAAACAGAAGCAGACTTCACAGGGACGAAAACTGGAAGGACACTAACCTACAATGTATCTTCTATGACAGCATTATTAGTATCTTCCTGAGATCAAGAGTACAAACCACTGCCATGGTGAGTCCCACCTTATCAAGGCACTGACCTAGGATGCAGAGAATCCCATCAGGCTGAGACTTGCTGCTCTGTGTCAGGATGCTCTGAACCTGGCGGAGTCGGCTGCAGCTGTAACAGAACAACACAGTTTCCTGAGTGCATCAGTGTATGAAAAATCCCTAAAGGCACACGCACGAGGAATGGTTTTGTTAGGTATGGAAACTGACACTAGTCTCTTTAATCAGAGACTTTAATCCATTTTCTGGATGGGATGATTATGTGTAAGTGGTCTGAGGACAATCTGGACTACTGATTATGGACTAGACTGTCAGTGGGTCTTTGGTTCAGTAAAGGGTGACACACTAAGGTCCGATTTGTAATCAGGAGATGATTCCAAGAATTCCCAATATCTTTTTACTTTTGCTGATTCTGAAAGAAACATTTCCATGCTGATTTAGCCTAATTTTAGTCTTCATCGGTCTGTCTCAAAAGCAACAAACAAAAGCAAAAATTTATATGAAGGGCTAATATGTCTTAGAAATAAAGGGGCTGATAAACTGAGCTCCTATTCATCCACATGACCACCCTTAGGGAGTCTCAGCACAGGAGAAACACTCAACTTCTAGAGAGCTATTATTACTCCTTTGGCAGAAGCAACATTCCTTACACCCAGGCAAAGCATAGGGAGACATGAATTCCTAAATAATAAAATCACCATGGACTCTACTGCCTTCCTATCTCCCTTTATTCCTTCTCGGCAACCCCAAAGATGAGTACTTAATGTCACGGTCAAGCCTGATCCTTCACCACCTCCAGCTCTAACCCCCACCCTCCATATACCATTTTAAGTGTTCAGTATCATTGACCATTAGGAATGCAAACTAAAACTACTTTGAGATTCCACTTTATCCCAGTCATAATGGCTATCATTAAGAAAACAAATGACAACAAGTGTTGACAAGCATGTGGGAAAACAGCAATCTCTATCAACTAGTGGGTAGGGATTCATGGTGTGGGTAGAAACTGGTGCAGACACCATGGGAAACTGTGTGGAGGGTTTTCAAAAAGCTAAAAATAGAACTACCATATGGCCTCGATATACCATTCCTAAGCATATACAAAGGACTTCATATCCTACAACAGAAACATTTGCCTGTCTGTGTTTATCTCCATCCATCCAAAAATAAGTAGGAAATGGAATCTGCTTAGATATCCATTACCTGATGGATAATGATAATGCGGTACATACACACATCAGAATTTTATTCATCTGTAAAGCAAAATGAAATCATCAAAATTTCAGGAACACAGATGGAGGTGGGAAGCCAGAAAGGTAGAGATGGGGAGGGAAAGAAGCTTTAATTGGGGGAGGGGATGGTAGCAAACAGCTGCTATGAGGTAAGAGGGGAGACTACTGGAAGTTAAAATTTAAGTAGGTTGGGGGTAGGGGCTTGAGGGAAGAGAAAGGAGAAAGGGTGGAGTAACCAAAACTAAGGAGTTTTTAAAATTTATATTTATTTTCTGTGCATTGGTGTTTTGCCTGCATGTATGTCTGTGTGAGGGTGTCAGATCTTAGAGTGACAGACAATTGTTAGCTGCCATGTGAGTGCTGGGAATTGAACCCAGGTCTCTTCTGGCAGAGCAGTTGGTACTCTTAACTGCTAAGCCATCTCTCCAAACCCCCAAACTAAGGATTTATTACAAAAAAAAAAAGTCTCATGGAAACTCACTACTATGTCATTTTAAAATATGACTTAAGGGGCTGGAGAAATGGTACTTGTTGCTCTTCCATAGAACCAGAGTTCAGTCCCAAGACCCAGGTCCAGAACGCAGCACCCACTTTGGCAACTTATACCTGCTTTTAATGCCAGTTCCAGGGGACCCAATGCCCTCTTTTGGCCTCCTGGGGCACCTGTACATACATGGTACTACACACACACACACACAGAACTCTCCTAAAAATATGACTTAAAAGAGTTGAGTGGAGGCACCCTAAATGGATACAGTGCTGTTCCCAGAAGATATGAGCTATTAAATGAAAATCCCAGTACAGGGCATGGGATACTATCCTATAAGTTATTGATCAGAAAGGCTCCAGAGGCTCCCCCAAACAAGACAGGCTATTGCCATTGCTCTTGGTTGCCCACCAAAAACAGAGTAAAGAGCTGGAGAGATAGCTCAGTATTAAGAGCATTGGCTGCTCTTCAGAGGATCTGGGTTCAATTCCCAACACCCACATAGTGGCTCACAAGCATCTATAACTTCAGACCTGGGGTCCTGACACCCTGTTCTAGCCTCCTTGAGCCCCAGGCACACATGTGATGCATAGAAATGCACACAGACAAAACATACAGAAGAAAAATTTCAAAAAACAAACTGCAGGCTGAGTATGGTGGTACATGTTTTTAACCCCAGCACTTTCTGGGCATAGGTAGGCGCATTTCTATAAATTCAAGGCTAGCTTGGTCTAAATAATGAGTTCCAGGCCTGCCAGGGCTCATGGTGAGAAATTCATTCATTCATTCTCTCACACACACACACACAAAAAAAAATCTACTGCAGAAGACATCACACATTTTTACTGCAGGACAAAGAAAAACATCTGGAATTGACTAGAGAACTCTCTCTCTGATGGCCAGCTTTCACAGTGCTACAATGTGCCAAGCAGGCTGCTGGAGGAGAAGGACATCAGTGGTCATACCTAACACATGCTACAATAACAACCTGCCAGGCAAGATGTGCCCACTGATATGATAGTAATGTCATGACTGCTATGGGTGAACCAACCACCTTACGATTGGATTTCAGGCCTGCTCCACAGAAGGAAATCCATGTCTGGTACGGTCAACTTGGCTCAAAGCCCTTGGCTGGGGTGGTCTCAGGAACCAGGTGAAACCTAGTGCTATTGTTTTCTTCGATGGAAGTCATGGAACTACTTTCTAAATATTTGTGTTTACACTCACAGAGCTATGCTCCTCCTGATCTTGCTCAGAGAAACTTCTTTCTACAATGGCTAATGAAGAAGTTCACAACTGATCAAACTGCTGAGAAGAAAACAAGTGGCTCTGAGGGGACCTTCATAGGAACCCCACCCCCACCCCCCAACAAGGCTGGAGGATAGGGAGCAGTACGACGAAGTGCAGTCTTTCTGGACAAGATACAACCACTGCACACATGAACTCACAGTGGGTGTGGTTACCTGCACAAATTCAAGACAGTCAAAATGTGTCGCGTCCTGTGTGTCCCCTCCCACCCTCCCACCCTCCCATCCCCGCTTGCCCCAGCTCTCTCTCTCTCTCTCTCTCTCTCTCTCTCTCTCTCTCTCTCTCTCTCTCTCTGGATTTTCAAGACATTCAAGACAGGGTTTCTTTGTGTAACAGCCTTAGCTATCCTGGAGCTTGCTCTGTACACCAAGCTGGCCTCTAACTTGAAGAGATCTGCCTGCCTCTGCTTCCCAAGTGCTGGGATCAAAGGTGTGTGCCACCACTGCCCAAGTCAAAAACTCAACATGGCCGGGGAAAGGGTTCTGAGTTCCCATTGCTAGCTGAGGAGCTCTTGGCTGCTGATGGCTGCTAGGGAAGGGAGACTCGGTTTTACTCAGGGGTATGGTCACCCAGCATAGTACAAGTATCAATTCTCCTCAAATTAACATGGTTTAACACAATCCCAATCAACTGCCAAGAATTTTATGGATATAGAGGGGTTTATTCTAAAATATATGGGGGGTAGTGAGAGGACAGAGTTCCAGAGGACAGGGTTACACAGTGAGACCTACTTCAAAAACAAATGAATAAATCTGTGTGTTAGGCTTCATGAGTATTCATCACACATTCTTTCACTTTTTCTGTAGTTTTATAATAAAAATTAGAGGCTGTGAGGAAAGGGTCATATGGAATAACAATGCTTTAGAAGTAACAGTATAGAAGTGGCAAAGTAATTTTAATATTAAATAAACTTCCTATCTGCCCCTGTATGTTTTCTTCTTTAATAGAGAACCGATCTTGCAGTCATTTTCCCACTAGAAAGACTTCACAAGCTAGACCTTTGGCCCATTTTCTATTCAGGACAGTATGCTGACTGCCTGCCAAGGTTACCAAGAGCTCTTTGGTTTACAAACTTATAACCAGCCACTGACAAAAAGCATGACCAGATCATGTGACCAAGAAACAAAAGTGTTTCCCTGGCAACTGCTGTTGAAAGCCAAGACAATACTGAAAATAGGAGACTTTTTCCTCCTTGTACCCAGTCCAGTCCAAATAAAAGTAGGAGCACATAAATGTAAAGAGTGTCTTTTCTCCTTAAGTAGAACATTATCCTGACTAGTGCTTTCTTATCAAATGGGTAAAGCTAAATTTTTTCCCCTTTGCACATTTCTTGCTTCTCAAATTAAATCTTTAACCAGAATACAGCTGATCTGTCACTGAACCATGAAGCATTACAGTTACTTATTTACTTTTAATTAAAAAAAAAAAAGAAAGAAAAAGAAAGAAATGCCTGATTTGTAAGGAAAAGCACAATCACCCTATTCTCACTTATTTGCTCCCATAACCCAGAATTAATCACTGTTAATTTGAAACTATAACATGTTTACTGTCCTTTCATAAAGAATAGAGAATTTACACAAAACTAAAATCTTCACTGATCCTTATACCCAAAGGTCATATATATGAGTTTGTTATGTGTCTATATGAACATACCCCAAATTACACAGTAATGCTGCCTTATAGCTCACAGTACCTGAGCAAGGCTGGCACATCATCGATAACCTGTGTTTGCTCATAAGTTACAGAGTTTCGCCTTCAGAAGTTATGTAGTGAGTGTTCTGGCCAGTGTTATGTCAACTTGGCATAAGCTAGAGTCATTGGAAAGGAGGGAGCCTCAATTGAGAAAATATCTCCATAAGACTGAGCTACAGGCAAGCCTGTAGGATGTTTTCTTAATTAGTGATTGGGGTAGGAGGGCCCAGCCTATTGTGTGGGTGGGCCACCCCAGTCTGGTGGTCCTGGGTGTTGTAAGAAAGCAGATTAAGTAAATCATAAAGAGCAAGCCAGTAAGCAGCACTCCTCCATGGCCTCTGCATCAGCTCCTGCCTCTGTGTTCCTGCCCTGTCTGAGTTCCTGTCCTGACTT